TGTGTGTGTGTTTGTGTGTGTTTGTGTGTGTTTGTGTGTGTTTGTGTGTGTGTGTTTGTGTGTGTGTGTTTGTGTGTGTGTGTGTTTGTGTGTGTGTTTCTGTGTGTGTTTGAGTGTGTTTGTGTGTGTTTGTGTGTGTTTGTGTGTGTTTGTGTGTTTGTGTGTGTTTGTGTGTGTGTTTGTGTGTGTGTGTGTGTGTGTGTGTGTGTGTGTGTTTGTGTGTGTGTGTGAGTGTGAGTGTGAGTGTGAGTGTGAGTGTGGGTGTGAGTGTGGGTGTGAGTGTGTGTGTGTGTGAGAGTGTGAGTGTGTGTGTGTGTCCCTAGCTTCCCTAGTATAAATCCGCAACACCTAACACGGATCCAACAAATTTGCGATTTCTCGGCCAATATCTAGCATGTGTCCAGCATCCCTACACATCTATAAGATGTTTCCACAGGTCTCCAGTGCTTTGCGCTTGCGCACTAATTCAGTACACTTCCAGCAAGGGCTTGCATGCGCCCAACTACTTTATCATGTGTTAGTTCTCTTTGGTTTGTTGTTTGACATTGTCCTGGCGGCAAACCTTGCATAGTCCGAGCAGACGTCGGGTGTACTCCCAGCACATGTCGCAAATAAGTCTGGCACGGAAATGGAACCGTCTCCACTTCTATCATGATTCTATGATTGGCCTGAGATTCCCCCTAGCTTGTTTCAGCGTGTCCAACAAATGTCTACTATGCCTGGCATATGTCGCGCATATTATTGCGGTCCGCACATGCCTAGGACTACTTACCCTGTGACACCAAAATCGAATTAGCCCTCTACGCAGGGAGTTGTCGCCATGTCATGTCTCATGTACGACACAAATAGCAAGTTGAACTTGCGTTCCAACATCAGCTAGTATGCGTGAAGTCTAATCCCAACATGCCTCGTGCATTTTTAGCATCTCTAGAATAATATGTCTAGCTTGACTCTGGCATTTGTCCAGCTAATATGATCCAAAAGTCAATCACACGTCTAGCTATCCTCGAATGCCTTCCCTGGACCGTGGGAAGCACTTTCTGTGGAGTGAAGCAGGCCACTGACCCCAAGCAATTGCAGCGACGTGTCCAAACCTCACCGGGACAAACACTTGAGGCAAATTCAAAACCCGACCATTGTTGGCGGAGTGTTGCATCTGGTAAATTCTAAATACAATCCCTCCAGGTTCGGCAACCAAAACTCACAAAACGAAGAACAAAAAAACACGGGGAGAAAAAGAAGAAGAAAAAACGTGTGGCATTTCATTGCCTTTTCGGGCAAGTCTCGATTGAGTCCCAGCCGCCCCCAACCCCCCTCCCGCCTTCTCCGCATCGTTGGTGGCGTACACCGACAGGGCCTTGCCCTGGCTGCCGTTCACCAAGTGCTCCAGGCCGGTGCCCGCAACGTCCACCTGCGAAACAGGCCTTCTGCCTTCTGCCTTCTGGGTTTTCGAGGCCTTGAGCTTCGGGGGTGGCCATTTTTGTCATGTGGGTGCTTCTAGGGCGAGAAGTCCATGTGTCATGTGGATTTGTCATGTGGGCTTCTGGAGGCTTTTGATGAACCTCGCTCCCCAGATCTGGGTAACTTGAACCACCGCTTGCCCAGGACGAGCACCGCAAACATGGCAAAAACATGGCGCATGAGCACCCGGCCGCTTCAAAGGTGGCGAAAGAGATCGACAAACAAAGCTCACATGGCATGGGACTGGGCACAGAGAACATGTGCAGCATTGAAAGCAAGTGTCTACTCAAAACCGGCGCATAGCCTGAGGGCATATAGCTCACACATTCGGGGAGTGTGTGCCTTGGCTAGGTTTGACGAACTGCAGGACCGACATGGTTCAAGCACTCCAAGCCGCATGGTGCATTATCACGCGAATGCATATTTGGCCTAGCACACATTACACCTGTGACACTTTTGGGTATCATGAGCAGCCTTCGCACTGGGAATGCATGCCTTGCTTGAAGTGTGGCACTGACAGGCACTCGTGCTTTTGCCCCTTGAAGAGCAAATGTACGAAGTGAAATGTGTTCTCCTTTCAGGTCTTCCACTTTCACGTTTCGTTTTACCGCATTCATGAGCCTGGGCTTCGCGCTCATGGTGTCGCAAAGGCTACTAGCACGGCAAGCCGCATGCAAGGAAGGAAGTTGGAGGCCCTTGACCCGGTGAGCTCATAGTGCAATGGTCCAAGCAGCACAAGAGTCAACTTGTGTCCAGTAAGCTGCCATGGACATCGGTTCGATGTAAACTTGTGAATGGCGAGCCACCATGCCGGCAATGAATATGTTGCAGTGGACGGGTAAGCAATTGGCTCGTTGCAGTGGCAGCACTGCCGGAGCAGACCGGGAGCACACTCTTTTGCAAGCGGCTGCCAAGCGACACTACGACCAGCCATGGTCTAGAAAGAGAAAGCCACATTACACGACGTCCGTTTTGCACCATACACAGTCTTGAGGGAATATTGAGCAGCTTTCGCAAAGTGAATGCATGCCTTGCTTGAAGTGTGGTACTGATGTGCACCTGTGCTTTTGCTTCCTCAGGATCTTATGTACAGAGAGTGCTTCCCTTTCAGGGCATCTACTTTTCAGGTTTGACCGCGTTTATGGGCCTGGGCTTTGCGCTCATGGTCTCCAAAGACTACTAGCACGGCAAGCCGCATGCTTGCTGTCAGGCAGCAGCAGAAAGAAAAGAAAGCCGCGAATGCCAAAGTATGCGTCTTGCACCTCCCCGGCGCTGCGAATGACTCGTAAGGACTTGCCGGCGTCAACAGTTCGGGCTGACTCGCAAAAAAAATGGGATCCTTTTTTTTGAGGGGGGTGGGGTTTTCGGTGCATCCCAGAAGGCCTTGCAGGGGGGGACCCCAGAAAAGAAGCTCGATCCGGAACGCCTCGATGTGAAAGCAAGTTCGGTCATAGCTCTCCGGGGTCAGCAGCTTCCAGTCCTGGCCACGGCGCTCGCTCGACGGGCCAGGGCCCCGCCCAGACGCTTTGGGGTCAAAGACGAACCCGGTAGATCCCAAGAGCTACGTCCAGGAACGGAAGTGAGGTTTTGGCTGCTCTTTTCAGAGGCTACTCTTCCAAGAAACCATGCAGCAGTTGCTCCACCTAGGCTACATCCAACAACAGGAGACCCCCACGAATGCATGACAGTCATGTAGAACAACGTGACATTGCGAGTTTCTGCATTGACCCTGGATTACAACTGCAACGCAAAGTGGCAGTTCTGCCCCTGTTTGGACTTCTCGGAATCTTACAAAGCCTTCGCCTGCGTCAACACGAGCTACACCCTGCCCGCCCCCCCCCCCCCTGGTCCGTCACCCGCACAAGCTCCCCCTGGGCCACATCGGGCCTTGCCTTGAGCTGAGCCTCCGTGGCCGAAAGATGAAACACGTGCACGGTATCCTACCCTTCCGAGCAACTGACTCCTCATGGCACAAACCTCAAAGCGAAAATGAGGAAATGCCTTCAAGCCGTCTTTTTGACATGAAGAACCGGAAAGTCGATCTGCCAAGCCCTGTCTTGCCACGTTGGCCGAAACATGCGCCCTAGGAGCGAAAATGCCATGAAGCAACTGCGCCAGTCGCATTCGCAGCAGCCCCACACCCCTCTGTACGCCTTGTACTGCGGCTGAAAGGCCAACAAGCGAGACACGTCGCCAACCTGCCACAAAGGACGCACAGAAGGTTCGAGAACGAAATGGATGTGATAGCTCTTGATATGCAATAGCTTTGGTGCGTGAAAAGAATGGGACTTGAAGAACATGGAGGAAAGAGGACATTGCGGCAAAAAGCAAAATGGGCAAGTCTCACCTGTCAAGCGCACCTCCAAAACAAGCCCAAAAACATGGCTCGGATTCGTTTGGGCAAACTGGTGACTCACCTGCTGAAAAGTTGATTGGCCACCCCCACACATACTCCCACCCTTCCCTCCATGGAGGGAACAAATGCAAGCCGTTTCGGCCGCTTCTTGCCGGCTCTGGCGTTTTCTCGTTGTTCCTCTCCCTCTTTCCCCTCTTGCCACCTCCCCCGCCACCTACCGAAGCAATCCCAAATCGCCTCCGCCTGACCTTCAAAAAAAAAAGACAACCAAACCCAGAAACTCGCACAGGCAGAGGGCCTTGTTGATGGTCTCCTCCTTGATCTTCGTGCCCTTGGCCCTCTTCTTCACGCTCTCGTGGTGCTTGTACACGGAGGCCGCCTTCTGGGCCTCCACCTCAAGCTCTTTTTTTCGGGTCGGGACCCGACCCGAAAGCGGGGGCCAACCCGCCGCAAGGACATCCGGGAAAGGAGAAAATGCAAAAACCGGTGGATCAACAGGCACATGTCACGTTTTAGAAAAGACCTTCTACTTCTGGGTAGCAAAACCGCCAAGAATCGGGGCTTCAACCCCGGCCAGCATGAAACAGTTTGTGACTCAAAGGGGTTCCTTTCAATGTAGAGGATCCTCGCTGATCAAAGCGCACGCTCGCACACAGAGGCAGCTTGCAAATCTGGCAGCCCTCACTAGGCATGAGTGTGCGGCACTGCATTCTGAGCAACAGGCACCCAGGATGGCGCGGGTGGTCGGGCAGGCGACCTTGGGCCAACACGCGCCAACCATTGGAGGGAGCACTAAACACACCAACCAACACAAATACAAGCCCGCTGATGAATATCTTTTTGTGGCCTCTCTGCGACATCAATTTTTTAGCCCCCAGCCAGCCATGCGGGCTGGAACGGCCGTGTGGCCAGGAGCAAAGGGCCAGCAACCTGCAACAGGCAAGCCACACTCCACACCCACACGTCTCATGTGACAACCACAAGCACTTCTCCAACGCAATCAGAACCTGAAGCCGGTCAGTGGCGCGCAACACACATTCTCAGCTCTCAGGCCTCTTCCTTCACGGTCATGGCGGCCTGCAGCCACTCCAGAAATGCGCCCAGACCGCGAACCAGGTAACGCTGGTGGAGAAAACGCTCCCGCAAGCGCTGGGTCAGGTCCAAAACAAACATGGGACCAATTTGCCTGAGCGGGGCTGGTTTGGGGCACGCAAATGGAGGCCTCCTGTCACCCCCGAGCACGCGTCCGGGCAAGATGTACTGGCAGCAGGTGCGGAAACCAGCCTGGCCCACACAAACCGGCCTCAAGCAAAGCCTCCTTGAGGCCTGTTTTCAAGCCAAGCGTGGCCCCGTCTCGCCGCCCCAGCTGCTGAGGCTGTGGCAATTTTGGCTTGAATGCAGCGCAGTAGGCACCTTTTGGTTCTGAGCCAAGCAGCGATGTATCCTTGGAGTGTCCATACGCACTGTCACCACTGTCACGAAATCGCAAACAAAGCAGCTTGCGTGACTCGTGTCAGCACTAAGCAACGTCTCGAACATGCATGTTCCACCTATAAGCCCTTCAAAGCTGTTCAGGGTCAGATACTTTTGATTATAAGCTCAATGTTCACAACTCTGGTTGCAAACAGCAGTTGTTTTTCCGCGCGCGCGCCGTTGTCCGCAGTGGCCTCAACGTGTTTCAGGGGGATTTTAAGGGGCGCCTCCGGGCACGGGAGGTCTTTGCCGCTGTTTTTACGGAGGCCAGCTCCTCACGTGCAGGCGGGCGCCCTTCACCGGACGCGGCTGCGCCCGGCAAACGGCTCCCCACCGTCAGCAAGCACGTCACTGACCAAAGGGCGGCGGCCCATCGACAGCTGGCAGCGTACGCCCGGCTCGCGCCCGCGGCCAAGAAGGAGGACCAGCGCCGGGCCAAGGCAGCCGACATGGCGCCGCGCACACGAGGCGGCACACTTCTCGCACGCGCCCGCGCCAGCCGCTGCACGAAGTCCACGGTTTCCGGGCTGAAGCGCCCGCCAACCTCAAGCGCAAGGACAACCAGCCTGCAGCGCGAGTCAGGGCGAAGGAGCTCCGGGTATGTGCGCTCCTTGGCCCGTGGGGCTTGGCGCAGCTGCACCCTCGGCTCGGCTCTGGTAGCGCCGCGGGGCACCTGTAGAGGACAAGGCCGACACCAGCGTGGTATCCACATGCCACCCCACAGGGGTAAGCCATTGGCTATGACTTCAATCCGCCGGTCATCTCCGGGCACGCTGCCGACAGACATTTTGGGAAGCGAATCAGCCCTCCGCCCCCCCCCCCCCCCTCCGCCAGTTGATTCAGCGCGTCGCCGAGCAAATCAGTGAGGGCTGCTTGCGGGGGACAGCAGCGACAAACGCACACTGGACAGCACAAAGTTCGACCGCCCAGTAGGCATGGATGCCTCTCGGCAAAGGCCATACAGGGTCGGAACCACCACGGGCCGGCGGGCCGTCTGCCAGCGCCACAAGAACAGCCGCCGCGCCTTCCAACAGGTGTGCTGCAGCCTCCTCGGTCCAGCCCGGCAAAGCCTGACTGTGCACCAGGCTCTGGATGCGCCGCACGGCATGCACGGCTCGCATGCCCCTTCCTCAGCCACCCGGTAGCGGCAGTCGCGGCACCTAGCCATGGCCTCTCAAAGAAAAAGGTGTGAGACTTACGCGTCGGCTGCGGGTAAAACGGCTGCGGGGAGCATGCGTGAAGGGAGCGTTCTCCGCAGGGAAGCACTAACAAACCGAAAGGCTCGTGCCCCCCCCCGCCCCCTTCCCTCGTCGTGGCGTGGGTCACCTTTTTTTTTTTTTTTGCCCCGTTCGAGTCAGGAGACTACGGTCCATGAAGGACACAGGGAACACACGAGGCAGTCATGTAGCTTGGCAAAACTGTACAAAAAGATGCTCGTTGTCAAGCCATTGCCTTGACCGAGCTGCCACCATCCACGTCCTGCCTTGCAAATGTTCAAGTGCAAATGTCCTCAAATTATCGTCCCACCTTTTCGGCGGGCGGCCTAGTTTCCTTCTTGGCGCTCTCAGGAAATTATGGGTCCAACCATCACCTGGAATCCATGTAACGACTGCCCATGGCCAAGCATCATCTCGACGAGATATCTTGGAAGCAAACCTGTATTGCCGGGTAAATAGTTGCTGCGTCCATGGCCTCAAAGGATGCATCGCCAGCGCGTGTTGCAGTCGTAATTTCATTCTGTGCATTGTGTCACGCCAGTCTTCACCCTCAATACGGACCCATCCCACAATAGATCGCAACATGCGACGCTGAGCAGCGTCTAATCTGTCCAGCTGGCTTTGTGTAAGCGGTAGTGTTGTTAAACCATAAAGTACACTTGGCGTGATGGTGGCCTCAAAGTACTGAAGTCTCAACTTCAAAGAAATATGCGGGTTGCAAAGCACTTGCTTGTGGCTTCGGAATTTGGCCCATGCGGCTTGGATACGGTGGCGCAGTTCCACTGAGCTGCGTTTGGACAGGTCTCCGCAAAGCAATTTCCCCAAGTAGCTGTGAGAGCGATCGCCCCACAACACTTCCACAAAACTGCCAGCAACTTCCAAGAAAGTAGGGCTCGCTAGCGAAACGGTTGTCAAAATCTTTGTTTTCCGCGAATTCAACTGCAAACCAATGGCGCCCAGCTCCAAGATCAGACTTTCCAGCATTTGCATCAATTCACTGCAAGATTTTGCATATAACATAATATCATCAGCAAAGCGGACGTTTGTCAATCGCTCTTCTTTGCCTACATGAAGGCCATGGTTCCTCAGTTTCTGCTTCCAATTTCGCATGGCATGTTCCAGGCCTGCGTTGAAGAGCATGGGGCTGATGACGTCGCCTTGTTTGACGCCACGTTTAATGCTGAAAGATCGACCGCCCTGCACCGATCCCGTTTGCTTCCGGTACAGCGAAGTCAGTAAAGCCAGGTATGATGGTGGCACCCCTTGCCGTAACAGAGCTTGAAACAGTGCGTCGTGTTCAATCTTGTCAAATGCCTTTGTTAAATCCAAACTGGCAAACCACATGTCCAGGTCCCATTCCAGCGATTTGCCACAAACAGATTCAAAAACAAGCATTGCATCATCAATACTTGTGTTTTTCCGAAAACCTGTCTGGTCACAGGGTTGCTGTGCATCAAGGTACGTCTCCAATCGAGAATGCAACAATCGTGAAAAGATTTTGTAAGATACCTTTAGAACGGCAATCGGCCGCCAATTGGACACATCTGACGTGTCACCCTGTTTTGGGAGCATCGTAAACATTGTATGGCACCACGTTGGTTCCAACTGGCCGGTTGCAAGCATGGAATTGAAAATATCCAGTAAGTAGGCTAATAACTCCTCACTCGCATACTTGAACATCTCCACAACCAAGCCATCTGTATCTGCACATGTGCGGCTTCGTAGTTTGGACACTGCATGCTTCAATTCAGACATCCGAAAAGGAGGGATGTCTTGAAAGCCATGGCGGCTCGCATAGTCCATGAGTGAATTCAGCAACTCTGTTTCGAAGCCCGCCTCTGAAGAAAATAAATCCGACAAGTGCATTGTAAAATCATCGGGCTCAGGAGCACTGCGCGCTGCTTGTCTCGCCGTGTGGAACGGAAAATTTCGAACTGATGCCAGCCTGTCCAGGTCTGAAAATTCAGATAGGATCTGCGCGGTCCTTGCGTTCCGTTTTCTCCGCAGGTATTGTCGAAGCTCCTTCCGAATTTGCTTGGACAGAACTGTTCGTTCACCTCGGGTGTCTGCTTGCTTGCGTCTCAGCAACAACTGCTTGAAGCCGTCACAGTTCCACGGCACATCGCATGCGTTTTTCTTGTTTTGAGCCTGCGTTTTATTAGCGGCCTTTGCAAGAACATCCTCAAGCTCGGGCACGGACCGTGGTTGAGAAAAACATAATACCTCATGCAACGCTTGATGGTAATTGTCCGGCTGGCCTTTTTCATTCAAAACTGGTTTCCATCCACGTCGAATGCTGCGCTTCCGCCTGTTCAAAGGCACGCGCTTGCCCAAATGGATTCGTGAGTAAACAGCGCGATGGTCCGAACCCATATCAAGGATATCAGTTGCAAATGCGGTGTCCAATATCAACTTTGAAGAGAACAAAACATAATCAATCCGTCGCCTTGCACCCAAAGAGCTTTCAAACGTCCATGTTTCAGCATTTTTGTCATGGTGTTCGTCATCGTTGGCAATGACCAATCCAAATGAAGTTGCAATTTCTGTCAGCATGTCACTTCGCACACCGATTCCTAATTGTGTGTTGAAATCGCCACCGACAATTCAAATAGCCTTTTTTGTTTGCATCATCCAATGTAAAGTGGAATAGTCCATAGAAATCATCCAAATCTTCTTGTGAGTAGCCACCATGTGGCACGTAGGCTGCAATGAAACGGGCCATGCCTCTGTCAGTGCTGACATCCGCAAAAAGCAATCTATCTGAAGCCGAATGTGTTGCTTTGATATTTGCAGAATGCCGCTGGTGCAAAAGGAGGGCCACACCTGCCGCATGTGTTGGCTGTGTAGATGTCACGAAACGGTGTCCACCATCCAAAGTTGCGTTGATATTTGCGCAACGTGTCTCGCTGAACATCACGACGTCCGCCAAGTTCTTCCAGCATTTCGGCTGTCCTCACTGGTCCTGAGAGAAATGCATTCTTTGCAAAAATGTGGAAAAATGTGTCTCCTGTACCTCGCAGATCTGCACTTCCACCATGGGAGGAAAATTGTGGTGAAACATCCTGACTCGAACGGAGCTGTCCCTAGCAAGCGGCGCCCTTGCTTTTCCCAGAGCCCTTCCCCTGCTTGTGCCAAATGCTGTTAGCCTTCTCGCACAACTGGCTTAGCTCGGGGCTGTTTTGGAAATCATCCCACTGCGCCCACTCCTCCGCCCAATGGTATTGGTGAGCTTGACCACGACCTTCCCTGCAATCATCAAGGAAAAGTACTCATCACCTACCTCGATCTCTCGCTTGGAAAAGCCCCACTCGCCCAACTGCCAGCGAAGCCCTAGCAAAAACATTTTTCGAGCTCGCACAGGGATCGGCAAGTCCTGCGTTGCCCACACGTGCTTGTCACCACATGTCATGCTGGCACTGCGCAAAAGTGCCGCGGCCATGTCCCTGTCATATGACGAGTTGAACTTTGCAAAAACGAGGCCCTTGAAGGTTGATGATTTCATGTAGGTACCTGTGTGGCAAGGCCCGCCTAGCTCGCGAAGCTTGTCCGTGAGCCATTGCGTGGCAGCGTTCAATGATGGCATATCCTCGAGCCCTCCGACAACCACTGTCTTCGCAATATCAGCCTTGGACACCACCGGTACCGCCTTGAGGGTGTCAAGTTGCGATTGCAGGTCCGCAAGCTGCTTCTCAACTTGCTGGGTTACATTGGTGGGGACCGACTTGTTGACCGTCAGCTGTTCCAGCTTTCCGATCTTCAAATCGTGATCAGCAAGTTTTGCCTCAACATTACTCAGTCGATTTCCGAAGGTTGCCTGCATAGAGGAAAGCTGTGCCTCGACTGGCGCAATAGCTGTCTGCATCTCTTGACGGACAATACTTGCAATTGCACTCAATGATGGCGCGCTCGTCTCCGAACCAGACCCATCCAGCTCGACCAACTCTTCTTCCTCACCATCCATTTCTTGCAGAGGGGACGTCACTCGCCGCTTCTGCGGCCGAGTCGGCGTCATCCCTGCCATGGCACCCTAATTCCCTGCCTGAAACGCGGCGCGCTATTCCTGAGGAAGTCCTTGAGCGCAGGACTTGCACCACACCCTGAAATGCAATTGATGCTAAAGGGCGTGGGTCACCGTGCCGCTGAAACGTGCGCCTCCGTGGGCGGCGGCCTCCCTCCACGGCGGCGTGTGCCCGTACCACGCGCGAGCGCGTTCTGTTGCGACCCGGCCGGCGCTGTTGCCGGAAAGCGCGTGGCCTCCCGCAGCAATTGGCACAGCAGGTCCTCGGCGGGGAGGCCGGCCTGCGCAGCCAGCCCCCGCAGCTCGGCAGGTCCGCCCGCAGACACACACGCGAGCACTGCCTCTGCCGCTGCATGCCACGTCGGCCGAGCATGGCCGAAGCGCAGCCGTGAGGCCGGCATTGCCGAGAAGAAAACCACCGTGCCCGCAACGCCGAGCCCGGCACCCAACAAGAACCAGCCCCAGCAAAGGCAGCACGGCCCCCATCCGGAGGGGAAGTAGGAGTGGGCAAGGGCCTCCTTGCAAGTTGGGGGGAGTGCGGCGAGCGCAGGCAGCGCCTCGCCCGCCAGCTGTTTGCCCCATTGCCATATCCACAACGCTGTTTGCAGCGCAGCCATACAGAAGAGGCGCGGCGGGAGGCCACACCAGAAACAAAATCAACTTGAGCCGGGGAGAACCCTGCCTTGAGCCATTTCACTTGAGCCAAAATGGCTTGAGCCAAAATGGCTACGGAGCCCAGCGCACTACTGAACGCGCTCCCCGCCGCTGCACGCCGATGCCTGGGCAGGGAGCTAGTATGGGGGCCCTGCCGATCAGCCGGCGACCCGAGCCGCGGCCTATTAGACCTCCTGGGCGGATGCCATGCCGGTCATACGCGAGCGGCACTGGTGGATCCGCGGGGCGCCTCCGCACGCCCTCGACGCGGGCGGCCCAGGCTGAGGCTGCTTTGCGCCTAGCCCTGGCAGCGCAGGCCCCGGGCCGCACTCTTCCCACAGTCTGCACCGACCCACTAGCTCTTCAACACACTAGTTGGCGTTCGTGCCGCCGGAAGACCTTCGGCTTCAAGCCTCGCAACGCATTGCGCCGGCAGCTTATTGAGGCCGCACCTCGGTCCGCAGGAGCGGGCGACTGGCTGCATGGATGGCAGTTCCACGTTGCTTGCCCACTTTCGCGACGAGATTTGCCTTCCCTTAGCCCAGGTTGCCAAGCGTTGCTGTTTGCGTCGCCGCTTTCCAATTGCGCTCTCCATTTCATACAACACCCAGATCTCACCGCCATTTTGCCAGGAAATCCGGCAGTGACGGCTCGCCCTGCGACACAGCTGGCTCAGGCTGCCACCCAGCTGCACGTCCTGTGTTGCCGCGTCCTAGCTGAGCTTTGCGCCGCGACTCCGCGGTGCCACCGGCTCCTCGGGAGTGACGCGCCTCCGCCGCCACATGTCGGGGACGATGCCCTGGGCATCGGGTCGCAGCAAGCTGCATCTGCCTTGCAGCACGCACGTGCCCAGAGTGCAGCACCCGCTGCAATGCCGTAGTCGCAGCGCGCGTGCCAGGAGATGACCGGAGGATTGAGGTCATCCAACGGCTTGCCTCTGTGGGGAGGTACGCAACTTGCCGTCGACACCACGCTTGCCTCAGCCCTGTGCTTTTCGGGCGCTGCTCGGCGCTACCAGGGCTGAGGGCGCGGCCCTGCGCTTTGCGCGTCGTGCCGAGGCACGCACGCACCCTGAGCTCCTTCGGCCCGACTGGCGCTGCAGGTTGGTTGCCCTTGCACTAGAAGTTGGCGGACGCTTCAGCCCAGAGACGGCGAACGCTGTTCAGCGGCTAGCGTGGGCACGTGCTAAAAGCGCGCCCCGCTTCGAATGCGTGGCGATGTCTAGGCCACGTTTGCTCGGCGATGGTGGTCTTCCTGCATATGTCGCCAGCCTGGGTGCCCTTCTCGGCGCAGGGGTTGACGGGCCGCCACCTTTTGTCAGCAATGTGCTTTCTGATGGCGTCAACCCTTTTGCCGGACGCAGCCGCATCCGGCGCCTGCCTGCATGTGAGGAGCTGGCCTCTGCAAAGTCAGCCGCGAAGAGGCGCCCCTAAAGTTGTTTGTTCAAGGGACGGGTTCGCGAGGCGGAAAAAGGCGCGTAAACAAAACGATGCTTCGCTCCCAGGCGGGGCCTCGTGTGGGGGCATGGCTCACTGCCATCCCAAACGATGAGGCAACGTCGCTCTCGCCAAGCCGCATGCTGGTCGCCCTGCGCCGCCGCCTGCAGTTAATTACCCCTGCCCATCTCCACAGCCCCTTGTGGACAACCCACAGATGCGCTTGGTGACCATGTTGCTGCTTGCCTGCGCGCTGGCTGGCCGGCCAGTCGAGAGGGCTTGGGTGGATTGCGACGGCGCGGCGTTGCGTACGACTGAGCAACGCAAGCTCGCTGCCTACCCCGAGTTACGGCGCCCGGTGAATTTGGTGGGACCCCGTTAAAAACCTATGAGATAGAGACTCAGAGAGAGACAAAGAGTGACACAGGGTGACAAAGAGAGACACAGAGAGACAAAGAGAGAAACAGAACGATAAAGAGAGACAAAGTGAAACCAAGACAAACCAACAAGCAGAAACAAAGAGGGAGACACAAAGAGACAAGAGAGAGAGAGAGGGGGGAAAAAAAAGAGAAAAAGAGCAAAAGAGAGAAAGAGAAAAAGATATTCTAAATATAAATATAAAAAAGAAAGAGAAAAAGAAAGAGAAAGAGAACAAAGAGACACAAAGAGACAGAAAGAGACACAAAGACACAAAGCGAAACACGGAGACACGCAGAGACGCAAACAAAGGCAAAGAAACAAAGAGAAACGAAGAGACAAGGAGAAACAAAGAGACAAACGAGAGACAGAAAGACACAAAGACTGACAAAGAGACACAAAGGGACAGAACACGAGAGAATAGACAAAAAGAGACAAAAAGAGAGACAAAGGCACAGGGAGAGGCAGAGAGACAGAGAGAGAGAGAGAGTGAGAGAGAGCGAGAGAGAGAGAGAGCGAGAAAGAGAAAGAGAAAGAGAAAGAGAAAGAGAAAGAGAAAGAGAAAGAGAAAGAGAGAAGAGAAAGAGAAAGAGAAAGAGAAAGAGAAAGAGAAAGAGAAAGAGAAAGAGAAAGAGAAAGAGAAAGAGAAAGAGAAAGAGAAAGAGAAAGAGAAAGAGAAAGAGAAAGAGAAAGAGAAAGAGAGCGAGCGAGAGCGAGAGAGAGCGAGAGGGGAGAGAGAGAAAGAGAGAGACAAAGAAAAACAAAGAGAAACAAAGAGAGGCAAGGAGACACAGACAAACAAACGCAAAGAAGCAAAGAGAGACGAAGAGACAAGGAGAAACAAAGAGACAAAGAGACACGAACACAAAGAGACACAAAGAGACACAAAGAGACGCAAACAGGGAAGAGACAAGAAGAGAGACGAAGAGCCAAAACGAGAGACAAAGAGGTACGGAGACAGGCAAACAGAGAGAGAGAGAGAGAGAGAGAGAGAGAGAGAGAGAGAGAGAGAGAGCGAGCGAGCGAGCGAGCGAGAAAGGGGCCACGGAACGCAGAAGGCCAGACCAACAACCATGCAAAAGTTCTCTCTTTTTGCCCACGTGCGTCCAGCAATGCGACGAAGCACATGAAAGAGGCCGCAGGCAGGGCAATGTCGTGGGTGAGGTCGCGTCGACTGCAAACTACATTCGTGCAGACAATCCATGCTCAATTGTTCTCTAGCAGCAAAACGCGATCCAATGCCACCCGGTAAATCAAAGACCGACAGTAGCTTGCTATCTCAGCACGATGCAAGGAGTATGGCAACTGGCACCATGTACCTGTATGTGTGTTGTCCTGAAACCGCTTGCATCAGGTTACTTTAGTCCCTGGTTCTACGTTTGCTGATGGTGCCTCTTCTGCTTCTGTGGCTCGGCGACTGAGACAGCTCAGCATTGTGCCCGTGTTACTGGGTCTTGAAGTGGGTCTTGCAGATCACTGGCATACTCTCAGGCCCATAAGGGCTCACTCGAAGCATTGGTAGACCTGGCACAATGCTGACCTCTTCCATGCGCTCTGCTCCACCCAAGCAGCCTGCAGTCTTTTGTGGGGCAAGCTTAGCTGAAAGTTCAAGACTTGTGAACAAGGACAAGATTGGTCCAAAGACTCAGAAAGACAAGGTCCAAGGTCATGTTTCGTCAGGGGGGTGCATAACTAGAACCAGATCATCACTAGAGAATCAGGCGGTCAAAAGGCTGGCAAAGCAAGCTGAGATGATATTGCCGCGCCTTGAAGAAGAGAGAGAAGAGCCACAGGATGAAGCAGGTCGCCGGGCAGAAGTACACCTCCGACAGGCAGCTAAACCACCTGCTGAATTGAAAAACATGTCTTGCCCATACAACACAAGTTAAAGTTGGGGGGCGGGGCACCTTCTGGGCGTTTCCAAATGCTGCATCCCATTGAGAAGCTCCATGTCCCCGCTCTCAGTTTTTCAAGCCTTGACACCATCGGCGAGCTTGTGACAAAAACGCCCACTGCCCACTGTGAACGCAAATACCTGCAAATAATATTAAGAATGCCAAGAAGAAAAACAAAAACAAACAACATAAATCAGGAGAATCCCACATGTCATCTCGTTCCGATTTGCAAGGCCAAAACGCCGGCTAAAGCCACAAGCACTACGCTAAGCTGTTTGACTAGGTGTGTGGTTTTGACGGTGCAGCTAAGCAGCTTGGTTTAAAAGGAAACCAAAAGGAAAACCTACCATTGTATTTGCTCTGGACTCAGCTCAGAGTGTGTTCGCCCTGCCTGGAAGTCTGTGTTCAGAACAGCAGACATCAAGAGCGACAGCCCGGCTCCCATGAGTGTCCTCAGGAGGCGGCCCCAAACCGGGCCAGCGAGATCAGATTGAATGGAGCTGTCATTCATGGCCCTTTCTGTACCTTTGGTGCAGCCTTGTGCCTTTTTGAAGGGATACACCAAAGAGGCCTTCTTGCCGTAGACACACAGCTGTCGCGCTGGTTGGCCCTCCTCCGCCAAGGCCCCGGCCCGCAAACCACCACGGAAATAGAGGCCGCCATCTCCTTGACGTTGGGCTTCTGAATCTCAGCGTGTCTTTTTAGCTGCCACCAGCTCCCCACCCTAGGGCCCCACTGATAAATGGGCAAATGGGAAATAACTGACACTAGATTCCTCGATTTCAACCAAACTGGCCTGAAAAGGACCCCTATGCTCCCAACTCATCTCCCAGCTTTGCGTGGCTCCAGCATCGCCTATTGCGTCACGCACGGCATCCAGGAGCCCGGCTGCACCCACGTTGCCCATATCGTCTTTCACCGGCTCGGGGCGGTTGCGCTGGCCGGAACGGGCCGGAAAAACCAAAAAAAAAAAAACGCGGCTCGAGGGACTCGGACCACTTCACTCTGTCCCAATGGAGTGTTGGGTGCGACATGTTGGCTTTGGGCTTTGGCCTTTTGAGGGTGGTGGCAAAAAGTCCACAGCCCCGGAACCCCGGACGCTGCATCCTGCCTCGGCGCCCCAACCAAATTCGCGCTTTCACCCAGCCCTCGCTCGCGGGGAAAAAGGCATAGGGCGCAGAGATCCAGTTGCTTTGCCTCCCGGACCACCAAAACCGCTCCCAAACCCAAAACCCAAAAACCCCTTTGTGCTTCAAACCACCAAAAAACCCACAGGCTCATTGGCCTCGGCTGCACAAACAGCCCAGTCTTTGGGGCACCTTCCGGGGTTCCACCCCCCAAAACCCGCCCGCGGACCCCCCCCCCGGCCCGGCCTGGTACACCAGGCCCATGGCGGAGGCCGCCGCCAGGCCGATGAAGTTTGTCGCCTGCGTGGGCACCTCAGAACGGTTTTCGGTTTTCATCGGAGCCTGTTGGGAAAAAATAACATGTATAAAATAAAAAGGAAAAACCAAAAAACAGACAGGACATCTACCATTAGTAATAGGAGCGCCAGAGGGAGTTATGTGTCACCTGTCTACAGGACATCTAGACATCTACCGGCGCCGGAAGTACAACTTAGGGTGGATGTACAGGACATCAACTCCTGGATTCCGCCACAAAAAGAAGAAACACCTGTGTCCATCATACATGTCCCTTCAACTTCCCCACGCATCCCGGCAACCGCGGCTTGATTTCTACGTCTCCGCCTAGTTGCCCGTGGCCCGTTTCGCACACCGGAGGGCCCCGTTTCGTCCAAAGCGTGGCCCGTTTCGCGCACCGCTTCGGCCAGGCGGCACAAAGGCCCATGAGGGTGAAGGTGCCCAGCAAGCCGCTGGCCCTGGCGGGCGAAGGTCGAGTTGGGCAGCTCGAAGAAAGGGTTGCTGAAAAGTTTATATAAATATACACTATATATACTATATACTATATATATATATATATAGATTTAAACTAAACAAACAACTGGTGTTTCAGCAGTTTTAAACGCTGTGCTTTAAACACCTGTTGTAGCTACCTGCGAGTTTGGCCAAAGGTTGTGTAAACAACAGGTTGCTTTAAACATGTTTCAGCAATCAAGGGGCCGGCTGGCGTATTACACCCGGGATGCTTGGTTTGAATCAGACTCTTTTGCAATTTGCCCCTCTTTGGCATGATTGAAACTCCCGAAGCCTGTCCGAGAACTTCAGCGTGTGGAGAAGGCGCGGCACCAAAGGTCCGCCAATTGCTGAGCCCAGTTGCGACTGGTCCATTACCCTCATCACAATCTCTCAACACAGGGTAGAAAAGATGCAAGTTCGAGTCAGACAAATTCGAGCGAGCTTTGTTGGCGCATGACTCCACTAGGGGCCTGCCCCCTGCTGTCACGCGCGCACACAAACACAGACACACACATACGCACACGCACACACAGACAAGTTGCAAGGAGGGTCAATATGGAAAAAAATCAAAAAAAGAGGAGCCTGGTTGGGTGTCAGATGGTTTCAAGAAACACAAAATGACTGTCAGTCATGATGCTACTCAAACACAAGGCAAGCAAGGTTCAAAGAACACTGCAAGGCCTTAGATTCAAGGCATTGCCTGCCACATCCAAGTTGGTACTTCACTCCCACTGGAGAAAACCACGCCAAGCGAGTCTCGGCGCACCACTTGAAGTGCGAAGCGGTCGGGGGCTCGATCATCTGCCGCACCCCTGGCGGGATGTAGCCGGCCACGTACTTCTGAAAGAGCCTCGCCAGGTCTGCTAAGCGCTCAATGCAAACACAGAGTCCCCGTGTACCTTGGCCCAGCAAATTCTTCAAAACTTACGGCGGTTGACAGGGTCTGGGTGATTACCTGGTTTCGGTCGAGGCGAGCAAAATATGAACATGCAACAAGCAGCAACCTTAGTGGTCCGGTAGTCTGACCCCTCTTGCCTGTGAAAGGACAACAGGCACAGGGCCCTTGATTTAGCCACAGAACACAGGCAGTTTGCATGAATGCTTGGCTCACCAAGGGTCAAAACGAGCGACTTTGGCAGCAAAGAGTCACGAAACTGGAGGTCATCTCTGAAGGCCAGAAAATGGCAACTGAATTTGCTGATTCGGGCAATGTGGCCTGCATTCATGTATGGCTACGAGTTTTGCTCGGAGACCCTTTGGTGAACTTATGGATCTTCTATCTTCGAGCTTGCTGTGGTACCACTCGGCGCGTCGCATATCGCGGGCGCGCATGTTCGCGCGCCTGCGCGGGGAGTCCCCCAACTCTCGCAGGCGGTTCGCCGCCTGCTTGGACCTCAGCGCCTCCTCCTTCCTCGGACACCGAGGCGAGCGGAAAGCGAGGTGGTAGGGTGCAGTTGCGCGGATCCGTCGCTCTTTGCCAAACAGTCGATCTTCGAGTCGAGCGACGTTTGTGATTCCTTGGGTTCAGTTCAGTCAGGCCAAACAGCAGGCAAGGCCCCGGCTCCGACAGCAGGCGGGTCATGATCCAAAGGTTGGCGTTCTCCACCCGCTGCAGCGCGTCCTGAAAGAGACTGCAGGCAGTGCCCGGGATGTCTCAACTTGTCGCAATCGAAATGACAGCGCGGGTGCTCCATCCAGCCCCCTCTGAAACCTCTTGAACACATTCTCCTTTAGAACTTTTCGACATGCCAAGTTAAAAGCGCTAACCAAACATATGCTAGCAATTTCTTTGCCAGGCAGGAACAAACCAGACGCAGGCTGTCCACGGGCCGCCCCCCAGAGCCGCCGACTCAGTCCCCACGCCCCCAAACCCCTTTTGTAAATGGAACTTGGACCTCAAGTTCAGCCCGACTACGACATATTGTTGTCACCTTAAACCCAGCCCAACCGCCGTGCCCGAATGCCCGGCCGCCCAACGCGCAACCCCCGGTTATCCGAACACGCCTCGTCATCGTTGTACTTCCGGCGGAGCCGGGAGGCGGCCTTGGTGACCTGCGCAAAGGCGAAACCAGACGGCACCTAGGTCCTCCAGTATAGAATAAGGGTGCCCTTTTTTCTATAGGCTATTTTAGTAGGGGAACCCTCCCAACCAAAAAAGGGTGAGAAAGGGCACTACTGGGGGACCTGGGCACACAAGTTGGTGGAAGCCCTCTTTTCACAACTGGCTGGAGAAGCCGCGCAAAAATGGTGCAAGCCAAGAAAAGGAAAGATCCACTCCTTTCTGATCCACAGACTCGCTTGGGAGAAAGATGGAAAACCCAAAGACCGAACGGAAAACTGACCGTCTTGAGGGACTAGGAGCCCGACTGTCTCTTGGAAGAGGTAACAGTTGTTGATTATGACGCTGATGACGATGATAATGATGCTACGTACTGACCAAAGTCCCCAAAGCTATGGAAGAATGAAGCCATGTAAAATGTGAGCAACGGCAAAGTTAAATGTGTGATTGGAAAACGCGTCTGACATTCTCAGTCTGATATCCCAGATCCTTAGTTTCCTCCTTCGTGCTGTGATGATGACAACACATTTGAGAACTGTTTCCCGCCAGTCAGAGTTGGCTTAGCACCACCGCTCAGAGGGCTTGAAATCGGTATCCATCGCTCCAAGCATTCCCAGCCAGAAATCATTGGCTCACAGGCAACTGGAATGAACGAAAGGCCTAACCAAAGCTCTGTGTGCAGGGTCCAACAAAAGTAAAGATGGTCTACTCGAGTCAAATGAGGCTCACCCTAGACTCATATTCTGATATGTGCATTCCTTTTGTGGAAATGTTCATTGACCAAATCTGATCAAACAAGCACCGGCTCATCTTCTGCCAGCTGCCCGGGGAGCTGACTGAAAATTCAAAAAATTGTTCCTCTATCTTTGTATCTTTGCAGCAGAGCCAGAAACTCGGAAAGAAAGCCGAGCGAGAACCCGCAAACAAACAAACGGACAAACACACAAACAAACAAACAAACAAACAAACAAACAAACAAACAAACAATTAAACAAACATACATACATACATACATACATACAAACAAACAAACAAACAAACAAACAAACAAACAATCGAACACACACACACACATCACACACAAACCAAGAAACCAAAGAATCCGACTTGTGTCCTCTCTGGCACCAGCCGCCATGCCTGGGCCCTGCTGGCGTCCTCGGGCAGGCCCAGGGTTCGGTACCTGGAAGCACCGACAGGGTTTCTCTCCGACCTTGGGGCCCACGGTTTGGTCATCTACTTATTCTCTTCCTTCTTGCCCAAACCCATCTTTCGAGGGCTCAAAGCAAGCCCAGTGATCCCAGCTGCGCTCGAGCACCACTTGGGGAGTCGGCCATGCCAGCCCCGTTGCTGGTCAGCTGGCCCAATGCAGCCCCCGAACCATTCCTTCACACCATGGAAGATACAAAGAAGGAATGGCACACGCGACCACAAAAAAGAGCCTGTGGTTGCGCTTTCAAACATACCTTTCGGGTAGGGGTGAGGGGGAGAGGAATATTTGGTTACAACTGTCCCCTACTAAACTTGATCTACTCAGATGTTGATTGTGGCTCAGCACTGACCTGTGATACAGCTGGGTAGGAGCATTCATGGAAGGAAAAATACGGGCATTGATCGCTTTTCCGAATTGGCCCAATGAGGAAATATAGGAGGCCCGAGCTTACATACAGGCCGGGGCACATTCTGAGCCACTCGCGGTCGCTCAGGCGATCCGTCAGCGCACCCTGTGACCTCCGGTGACCGGCGACCTGTTGAATGGGTTCTACCAAACGGGTTCTGGGATGCCACACTCTGTCCAACAAAACTCCCAAACCAATCCATATCAATGTCAACATAGTTCCGTCCTCTTCTCGCAAACCAGATGTTGGAAAAAACACAAACGCTTGTGGACCGCTAGCAGAAGCACGTGACAAAACGATTCTCCAGTGGAGAGCCAATAACACTGATCTTTGTTCCGTTTACTGGGGAAATGGACTGGGCCGCACGGTGCTTGAAGTGGATTTGTTGTGGGCTCTCCATGTCCTCCCCAAAGGAAGATGTTCAAGGATGGGGTTTCCCACTGGTTTCCACTTGGAAATGGGCTCTCTATGGGCTCTCCATGTCCCCCAACTGCATTGTGGTTTCCTTACATGCAGCGTCCTCCATCTGGCGGTGGGTCAAAACCAATGGAATTCACCACCAATTTTAGAATCTACTTTAGTGGTTGGATTGGGTCCCGTTCACTGGGGGTACGGGCTTTAGCTTTTGACCCATGGCCATCTGTTTCCCAGTATCTTCCATGTGGCTGTGGGTCAACAATAGGTACCCAAAATGGCAGCCTGGTAAATGGACGCAATGACTAAAACCTGTGTTCCCCTGGTGGCTTAATTTTGACCCATACCCACGTTGCCGCTTGTCCAGCCGAGCCGAGAATCGCCGATCGCCTCCACGGGAGGCTCAAGCTGGCTCGCAGGGCGGTCGACCTCCGCGCCTGGACATTGGGAGCCAGTCGGCCAAAGCAAATGGGGTTGATCAAAGGGTGCTTTACATGGGAGTGACCATGAGGGAAACCACCAAAAAGGATCATAGTACCGGAAAGCCCCCTCAAGTTGGGACACGGCTTTTCCAGCTGTTCAAGTTGCAGATCCGGCAGCTGCAAGTCGAGACTCTGCTTGGCACTGGGACACGCCAAGCCTATTCCATGGGATGCCGAAGAAACCTATGAACTGTTCATGAACATGTTGCCTAGACTTGCAAGCAGCCGCCCATAAATCAAGAGGGGATCAAGAATGTGCTGCATCTGATATTTTTTTTTGAGTGATCCACTTTTGGATATCAAGAAAAATCAACTGCAAACCATCTGGCGGGTCCCTTCTGCGATGCCCCCAAGACCAGCGGGGCGCTTAAAAAGAACACTACCTATATGGTATATTTTTGTTGATGAATGTCAAGTCACTGATATACTCTCTGGTCCATAATCTTGGAACCCCACAGGAGAAGAACGAAAACAAACATAGAACTTCCTGTGAAATTTATTGCTTGGGGGGCCGGGGGATTTTTCTGGGGGGATTTGGGGAGGGGTTGGGGGCTTCGGGTTTGGATTTGGTGCGCTGGGCCCTGGGGCGGCGGCATCCACTGCCTTTTCCGCGCCGCAGAAGCGCGGAGCCTAGCGGGCAGGCAGAAGAGTCCAACCTATTTGCGGCGCTTGGGTCTCGTCTCTTGGGGAGGGGCGTCCCTTTTTCGCGGGTTCCTGGGTTCAAGGGAAATTAGGAACAACCTACTTTGGCAGTCTTGCGAGAGGCTCCCTTTTTGCGGGTTCTTTTTGGTTCAGTGGGAGAAGGGGTACATTGAGCAGGCTCACACTGGAAGACCTGACCATGAAATGAGTTCCCTTTTTGCGGTGAATTGGAACCATTTTGGCAAAAACCGCCATGTCCACCCGGCAGCTGCCGAAACCAGGCACGACCTCCGCATCGCATCCCAGGTTTCAAATCTTCGCGCCTTTTTGGAGACCACGGGCGAGAGGAAGGACCAGGCACAAAGGCCAGGCACACCTTGGATCCGAAGTGGAAACTTGTTTGCTTTTGTGCCAAAATCGGCTTCCCAAGTCAGTGGCTCAGTGACTCAAGTGAGTCTTGGTCTCCTAGCCAGGGCTTCTGGAGAAACTCTCACTCTGTTTGGGTTTCCGCGCAAAAGAGAACGGGGGCTTTTCCGTTCTGAGACACATGTCCACATTTCGACAGGCCCTGACTCCGAGGCCCTCGCAGAGCAAAAACACCGCCCTGGCCAAGCAGGCCTGGGTTCAGGGGATGAAGCATCCAGTCTCGCTTTTTGTAAACACAAACATCACCATCTCTAAGGGAGCCAAGGCAATGGAGCACAAATCTGGCGCAGCTAAAGACCCAAAACCCTGGCACAACAACTGGCCCCCGTTCGCATGCTGCACACACGCACACCTGCGCGCGCGTGGACCCATCCCGGATCTCCGTGGCATCTCCAAAGCCGTTGCTCGTATGCTCCCGGCACGCTGGGCCATGCTCCGGGAAAGGCGCATGGCTGTGGCCTAAAGCGCACGATCGCACAATTGGTCAAGCCCACGCGGTCTGTAGGCAAAAGCTCAAGAGGTGAAATCATTTCTTGGCTCCATGAGATTCCAGGACATATCGACTGGAATGCTGCCCTTGGGCCAAAGACATGAGGCTATGAGCTGCAATCCATGCGTTCTTGATGCAACTATCTTGCCTGGTTAGACTTCAAGCCCAAACTGCATGGACAAACCTCGACACCCCAGCCAGACCATCCACACTCCCCGCTTCTTTGCGTTGCCACCTCGGCCGCAAGCCCGCAACGACAATTCCGTCTCTTTGGACGGACAAGTCCCAGTCTCTATGTACATTGCCGCGAACAGAGCCGCTCTTCCTTCCCAGTTCCGGCGCCCTGCTTCGCTTCTCACCCTTCCGCTTCCGGTGCAGGGCTGGACAAGCTGCCAGGGGGATCAGTGTGAACGAGTTTTGTTTGGGACGACCACTAAGGGCTGTATTTGCTAATGGGCGGCAAAACCCTTTTGATAATCTTCTTCCTGATCCCTCTTCACCTTGGCCCGGTGCCCAGAGCTCAGGCGCCTCTGAGGCTCTGTGCACCTCAGTCGCCGGAGCGTTTGGTGGCCGGATGCGCAAGATCGGTTCGTATGCACGTCAACAAACCTCGTTGGGTTTTGGGTTCGAGGAAAGCCAAAGGGAGCGCATCCGTTCGGCGGCAGGCATAGTTTTGACACACACCCGGAGACCAATAGGTTTGGGTGCTTGCCTATGAAGTATCTGTTTAATACTTCGAGGTCAAAACTAAACACGCTCCACTGTGAAACTGGAAAAGAGTTACCATGCCACAGGATATCTTCCCCGTGTAATGTGCCGTGGGCACACGACACTGAAACACTTTGCTAAGTGCCTGTGTTGCACGCGTGTTCATCTTATGTGTCTGGCCTATATGCGGCATGTGTCTGGCTTCTGCCTAACACATGTCTAACACGTGTTGAATATATGCCTAGCTTCAATTCAAGTTGAGCGCCGTCATATGTCCAGCATAGGTGTCCTTTTTGGGAAAATAGATGGTTCTGATCAATGGAATCAAACCAACCCAAACCAGTGCCATCTCTTTCTAGCCAAAATCACCCCAAAGGACACCTATGATGTCCAGGCGATGCCTCGATTCCGTCCCGCCGCCCGGCCTGTCGCGCCAGCGGCCTTCGCGGCGAGTTGGGCGTTCAGCGAGTCGACGGCCCCGCCTTGCCACAGGCGAAGCCCAGGAGGCAAAGCCCGGGGTGTCTACACCAATAGAATATATGGCTGTGGTTGTCAAAAATAGGAAAACCCCAAGATGGCTCTGGTAAATGGAAACATGGACTAAAACCTGCGGTCCCAAAAGCTGGTTTAATTCTGACCCATAGCCATATTGATTTCCCGAAAGGGCGCTTTGCTGAAGGAATGGCCAAATGGCACAGCTGGCTTCATAGCCGCCCTCGGCATCAACTTGACCTAGGCCTCATGGCACATTTGACAGTGATCAAGGTGACCTACACGTATGACATCAATGAAGGGAATGTACCCTTCGTTGAAGGGGAAACGAAAAATAAGAAAAACAAAAAGAGGGGAAAAGAAAAAAATAACAAAAACACACACACACACACTTGATATGAGACGGCAACAATGCAAGGGCGCATCCCCAAGTACCTGAAAAGTGGAGTTTCGTCAGCTAGCCTTCCCGATCTGTTCGCTCGCCGCGGCTACTCGTCAGTGCCCATGACTACCGCGACGAGGTACTAAGAAAGGGGGTCGGTATGGGCATACTCCGAGTTGGAAAACCCCTTAGAAACAGGGGGGCCACACACACACACACCCCCGAAGAGGGGGAAAAACCAAAGGGAAACGCAACCAAAACCGAAAAACCGAAAAGCCGAAAAGCCGAAAAGCCGAAAGGCCGCCTCCATCATGATGCTCGATTGGAGATTTGGTCACTTTTTTAACTCCTGCCTGTGCGTCTGCATCCCACAGTATTAAAAAGCCGAGTTTCCTAACTGGACAAAAGATGCGGCCACGTTCACGTAGGCTTCTGACGCTGTTCCCGAGCTTTCCTGAGGCGTTCCAGGCTCTTCCAGCGCTGTGTGACATCTGCGATGGACCTGTCGAGCTTCTTGGCCAGCGATTTGTACGAATACCTGGACCGATTGTCTGCTTTCAGGCTGCATAGCTGCTGGCCATCTTCCTTTGTCCAGGTACGAGGTGCTTCCGGGGGAGTTCTAGCATCCGGATGAGCGTGAGCCGGAGGTGGAGTGCGAGGTGGAGGCTCCGGTATGTCCATCTGCTCGGAGGATGTAGTGCACCCTCGCTTTCGCTTGGTGATGCGCCGATTGGTCTCACCTTTGTCCATGACGGAGCGGGGGACATTGGCCTTTCTGAAGCTCGGCTGACCAACGTAATCGCGCACCACGGGCCCCGTGGAACGCAGGTCTGCAGCATCGTTGGTGTCCGCCGTGATGGTATGGAAGGATAGCGACTTGGGGTTGACCTCCGCATGCGTCCTGCGATCTGCGTGTGACGGAGCTGAATGAAGTCCGGCAAGTGGTGGATGGTCGGTCGGAGATACTGGGTTGACTCCAGTCGGCATCGGTGGCCCATGTGGGGTCGCCTCATCGGTTCCAGCAGGAGCAGGTGCGTGTAGCCGTGATGACTCGGACTGCGATCGACCGTGGACATATTGCTGCCAGCGACCTTGCCCGTCACGGTGCCGTCGGCTATGTGACTCGTCAGCGTGGTTCAGGGTCTCCTGAATGAGCTGCATCATGTCCCCAGCGTTCTGACACATGCGATGATGAAGCGCTATCATGCGACCGAGCATGGCTACAGCTCGTGGGGGTCCACAGGACGTATAGCGCTGTTTGAACCAGTTTCTGAACACAAGGGTCAACACGGACATCAGGAAGCAAGAGAAAAACAACCAAACGGGACACATGACAGTAAATAGTCCAAACGGCAGGCACCTGAGGATTCTTTCGCACTGGAGTCGCCGGTAGGTGAAACAGATGTTGCAGGTCAGCTGACTTGTAGCCTGCGGACAAATAGATGCTGCGAAGTTGATCCAGTGCCATCTGTGCTGCCCTATCCGGATACGCATACTTGGTGGCGAGTGCTGACCGTGACCGAGCTCCTGATAGGAGGATGGAGAGGCTCCCAGCAGTGCGTGGTCCTCTGATCTGCCAGATTTTTGTAGGGGTCTTGTAGTAAATGGACCTGTCACCCACATCGATGACGAAGCCGAGGAACTCCGAAGACCCCACTTGCTCCAGCACGATGGGGGCACCGTAAAAGTCAGCCTGGAGCAGTGCTTCCAGTGGGGGCGCCGGGTGACCTGAGGATGGAGAAGGCAAGATAACAAACCTGTTGTCCACATACCGCTCCAAGAAGACGTTGTGACTGCTGTACCATTGCCCGTAGATACGCTGCCAGATGACTTCCTGCCTTGCTACGCATATATGGCTGAGTACCGGGCTGAGCTGGGAGCCAATCGCTGTACCATGAACTTGGCGCATGATGAGGGTCCTCACTTGAACGTACATGCCTTGAAAGCTGGACTTGACGATGGTCATGATGTCCTCCATGTGGATGATGCGCGTGGTCGGCGTGCGTCCATAGGACTGCTTGCCAGCAAACACCCGATTGTGGTGGGCAGTTGCATGCGTTTCCACTGAGTACATGGAGCTTGGCCGGTCTCGTTGATGCTCGGCGAGTAGCTGCGCCACCGCTGTACACACCTGGTCTTGAGGAACACTGTTGAAGAAGCCTACCAAGTCGTCATTATGAAACGCCAGGGTGACCGTGTCGTCCGTGTTGTCGAAGTATTGCTTGATGTTCTGCCATATGCGCGGAGTGGGGTGAATACCCCATGAGCACTTCCATGTGTCAGCGGCCAGCTCGCCGAGAAGGATGGCGACTGCCTTGAAAAGTAGCCGGTGCACTACCTTGTGATACGCTATGATGGTGCGACCCGACTTCCACTGCTTTTTCCTTTTGAGAAAGACTTTTCCAACCGGGACGGAGGTCGTCTTCTTCCTGTATGCCCATTTGTACTTCTGCCGTAGGTGTTTCGGAATTGCCTCAAGAATGATGGCTTCTGCTTGATCGGGCCTCAGTGTGGTGGCCTCGAAGGTGCGAGACTGAAGCCAGGTATTGTGGAGGCCCTTGAAGTAGACTTGAGGGCACAAGAACATGAGGTGGTGGTTGTCGTGGTCTTCGTTGTGACATACAAAATCCTGACCAAGATGCCGATGAAGGATGTTGAGCTGATGCTTGGTAAGGAGCTGGTGAGTGCGTGCATGTTTCCGACGCTGCTGAAATTGGCTGCGAAGGTGCTCCGTGAGAGGGGCGTGGAACTGATGCAACGGGAGTCCGTGATGCAAGCACCATTTTCGTAGACGCTCGTGAACTTGCACTTCGTAGACCTCGAAGTCCACGTAGTACGACGCCAGTGCTGAGGTGTACGTGCCTGAAAACCGGAACTCATCTAATCCTGCTGCCACATGACCTTGAACATGGGACAGCCAGGGCTGACTCTTGAGCCACGTGTCGCATCGGCACGAGGATGGCCCGGAAGACGTCAGGGGATAGCAGTCTTGAAATGACGAGTAATTCCACATGACTGTGTGGACTCGAGGATGAGGAGTCTCGGCGAGCTTCGTGCTCGGCAAGTGGAAGGGAAGGGCCCAGTTGCGGTGGTCGATGACGAGACGACGAAGGACTTCTCTGGTGGTCCGTTGATAGTCTGGATGTGACAGCCACGGTAATCGTAAGAGCATGTTAATCTTGGGTTGCTGTAGTTGCCGAAAATCAAGAACTCGGCGAAGAATATTGCGAACTCGATGTCGATGAGGTTGTTCCACATTGCCGGACAGTCTGTAGATGGCGTAGATGTCCAGGTCCGAGTGTCGTCCGCTGCGAAGGCGTTTTTCTTCTTCCCAGGACTCAACGAACGTGCTCCGAGGCGAGGCGGGCAATGATGGACCACGCTTGATTGTGTTTTAGCCATAGACTGTGCAGCTCCTTCTCCGAAGTCGAAGGAAAAGGCGTTTGCCAAATCTGGACCAGGGCTGTTCAGCAAGAAACCTGGTAGCTGTGTATCCGGTGGAAATACGCTTGTATCGCCGATGGATGTAGGGCCAGTTGAGGGACGGTTGATAAATGCTGATCAGGGCATGCTCTTGAGTCCAGGTGACCATGTGATCGGGGTCAGTCAGGATGACCCAGGTGGCAAACTCATCATAGTTGCCGAAGTGATGCCACCATCTGAGTGGTTCAGCATTAATGAATTGCGAGACTGAGTGTACTGCGTTGTATCGCCTTGGCCTATAGGTGCACGAGGTTGAAGTTGAACTGGTGGTGCTGGTGGTGGGGGCCGAGGAACCGTTGTCATGTTGGTCGTGCCGCCTCCATGATAGTTGTGGAACTGACCGGGGGGCTGCGGTGGGAACTGGTAGGCCATGTGTAGAGGCCGAGGAGAATTCGCCCGAGGTACTGCTTCCTCCCGAGGTGGGTACTGCATGGGTTCCATCCGGTTGGAGCTTGAGTGTCCTACTGTCTGGGACTGCGGGACCGACCATGATGGAAGGTGCGGAGACATCGGTTGCAAGGAGGGGTTGCCGATGTCGCCGGCCATGAGTAGGACCACTGAGACGCCATCAGGGGATGGTTGCTTATCTCCGGCACTGGCTGACTGATTGACTAAACGCTGGGCATGCGGCACGGCTTGACTAGTTGACGAAAAGTTTTCAACCTGAAACCGGAAACATTCCCGAAAAGAAGAAAGCGATCAACACACGCAGATCAACACAGAACCAGGGAGGCGTGCACTTTTTGTCGCAAAAAGCTGTCGGCAGGCGAAGACGGCAATGTAGCATTGCAATTAACATCATTAACTGTCATCAGGCGCAGCAGTTCGTCTGATCGGTTTGCAAGTGCAATAAGGTCAGCGCATCGGTAAAGCTCACAGAAAAATGACTGTCGAAGCTGTAGATTGGTCATCTGGATCGTTGCCGGGCGCAGATTCACGAGCGGAGAATACTCGTAGGTGGCTGCGCGTCGGTGGGCCATGCGAGTCCGACGATCTGGCTTGCTTCCGGAATAACCATCCAGCACTTGCCTGCAACGTAATGTAGTACGTCAGGACGCTCAATAGAATCCCACGCCTCGATGCAAGCACTTTCTCCCCCTGCACGAATCGGCTGACAGGTGCCGACAGCGCGTCCAAACACTAGCAGTTGGGCCCTGTTGAAGGACATACTCCAGTTCTGAGACATCACCCGGGCTATTTCTTCAGCGTCGTAGTCGGCGTGTCCTGTGACCTTCCAGCCTTGAGCGTAAAACGCCGGGCAGGCCGAGCTGTGCTGCTTGGAAGGATGGACCTGCCTGTCCCGTAGAATACTGCGAGTGCCTCCGATACTGGATGCGTGAGTCCAGAGCAGCATGGATCGCGTCTTCGTTGGTTCTCGAAGCCGAACTGTGGCGCCGAGGTAGGGAACAGTCAGCATGAACCAGTGCGGAGTGATCTTGAAGTAGGGATGGTCCGAATTCACCTTCGCATAGGCCAAGGTGGAGTGCTGAGCCGGTGTTCCTGCAGCATTTAAGGTAGCGGCCACATAGTCCAGCTGCGCCTGATTAACCGAGATCCCGTCGCGGACGTGCTGCGCGGCAAGTGCATGAAGTTCCTTCCTCCACGGATCTGACTGCGGATTGGGGAGCAGGATCAGCGGCGGGTATGCCTGTGGATCCGGACGTGGCTGAGTTTCTCGAGGACGACTCTGCAACTGGATCAGCACTGGTGAGCCTGGGAGCTGGAGCCGATGGAGCTGGAGCCGATGGTGCACTGCTTCTGCTGCGTGGAAGTGGGGACCTGTTGCTTCGCGGTCGCCGGGATGAAGCTGTGTGGTCCGTGAAGTCGCGGAAGTGGCGAGAGCTGCTGCTGCCTTGGATGAGTGATCCGACCGAGCATCCCTTCGGGAGAGCGGTGGTGGCGTCCTGGAGCGAGCCCGACTTCTGCGTTGCGGGGGAACGGACTTGGAGTAAGGGGGAGCATTGTGGGGATGTGAACGTTCGCCACCTGTTGCTCGGCGTCGTCTTGCCGGTGGGTGGGCCGGTGGCAGCATCTGACTGGATGGATGAGATGCCAACGATGGAGGTGTCGGAGTCGGTGCTGTAGTTGTGGTGGTCGGTGGCTTTGGCACTGGGGTGGCCTGGTGGGGATCCGAGGGCGTTGTAGCTGGCTGCGGAGGTGTAGCACTTGATACCTTCGCTTGCTGAGGGATCTTGGGAGTCTGCTGGAATGCCGTAGGGGTCGATGCGGTAGCCGGAGTCGGACAAGCTGTAGCTGGAGCCGTCGGGGTAGTTGGGGTTGTTGGGGTTGCTGGGCGTGCCTTCACCAAGATTTGTGGTAGTGGGCCAGCAGCTGATCCAGGTCGGGTGGGATACGCGGCAATAGGCATCGTTGCTTCACGAGGAGCAGGGGATGGAGCCGAAGGATTTATGGCCATCGGGATGTCGGGCGACGTGCCAGTAGTTCTGAAGGGTGGTGCCACAAGCGTACTCCTGCTCGGTGATGCTGTCTGGCTCACTGGTGACCTGGGTGGCGTAGGGCCCGCTGTGTGATTGGTGGCCTTCGACATGGGGCCTGCTGAGTTCGACATCGGACCTGCGTTAGGGCGAGGCATCTGTTGCCGACAATTGCGAGCCAAGAGCAAGCTGACGGCGTCATGAGTTCTCGCCTGATGTGTCGGGTGGTCTGGTGGGTTGTCAAACAGTTGGTCCGACAGAAAAGGTTCACGGAAACAGTCTGGGGTGCCGGAAGGTCTGGGAGAAGTCCAAGCCTGTATTGAGAAGGTCAGCTGGAACAGTCAAGCGTCACGAGCGACAAGGTCCGGTAACTGTCTGTAGAAAATGTCATTGCATGAGCCGGAACAGATGCCCACAACAGGGATCAAGACACTGACCGAAGCCCGGACGCAGTGCCTAAACACACTTGATATGAGACGGCAACAATGCAAGGGCGCATCCCCAAGTACCTGAAAAGTGGAGTTTCGTCAGCTAGCCTTCCCGATCTGTTCGCTCGCCGCGGCTACTCGTCAGTGCCCATGACTACCGCGACGAGGTACTAAGAAAGGGGGTCGGTTTGCTGGCATGGGCATACTCCGAGTTGGAAAACCCCTTAGAAACAGGGGGGCCACACACACACACAGCCCGGACATTCGCACGTGACCAACCCCCCATCTTGCGCCAACTGCTCAAGCTTGGCTCCCGCGCGGCCCGCATCCAACGAGGCGCTGCTGAAGGAGCATGACCCCGCGATGGTGTAGAGCACCACGAGATGGGCCTCAGCGGTCTCCACCCAAAGAGGCAGGCAGACCATGTTGGCTGGCAAAATGCCAAAACCCGGGACACCAACCCAAACTTGCGGGGTCTGATTCCCACCCCCTTTTGGGAAAACACCACAAGAACTGTTTCAGCGTCGCGGTTCCCTTCGAACAATGCGCGTCCAACTCTGACGGAGGCAACGATTGGAGAAAAATCACGGGTTCGCCTCAACGTGGTATCCTTCCCATGCCTGGCATATGGTGAACGCCCTTTCAGAGCTTTTGTGGTCAATGCTCCTATGATTCCCAAGATCCAAAATCCGGTAGGTCTTGCTTTGGAACCCCAATAAACGGCGGTGCATCGCTTCCCCTTTTCTCCAAACCCTCGAGAAAGCACGAACAAACCCCTCTTACGCGAAACTCATTTGAACCAAATCCAAAATTGGTTGCTCGTACCTCTAAAAAAAATGACGCCAGAGGCCCAGGCGAAGAACACCCAGAGCCAGGCCTCGCTCTTCAGGAGACGCTCCTGCGGATCTCGGATCGGCGTGAGTCCGGATCTCACGGCCCGTGAGGTCCGCGAGTTGTGTTTGGGATGGGCCGTTGATCCAAAGGTCCGGTAAACATGCTCAACAGCCAAAAGGAAATGGGATTCTTGGCTTTTTGTGCTTGCTTGTTGGTGCGGTTCTCTAGGAACCACTGGTCATTTGGCCACAATGTCCTTGTCAGGGAAAAAGTCGATGAATTCCACTGGTACATGAGAAAATGAAACCAATGGAACCCATCTGGGCTTTGGGGGAACCCCCAAAATGAGTGGTTTCAACTTTGGTTTCCCTTGCAACCCCAAAAAGGGAACTTGAATCCTCTAGACATGCGCGCCTGTTTCCACCAAACTGACCCAGAGGATCAGCCACTCCGACCCTTCGTGGCTGTGGCGCCGTCACTGCACTCTGGCGCCGTCATCTGTCATTGGCATTCCGCAAGGTTATGAAGCCTGAATTGGCCTCCACATATTCCACATGGACCTCGAAACGGCTTTCCTACAAGGTGAAGCCTATGATAACACCAGAGACATTTGCGGTAGCAAGCAGCCCTCACCCCTTGCAGTCGAACTTCGCCTTGTGCCCCTGCCCCCGTTTCGCCCAGAGCCCCGCCCAGAACAGGGCTCCGTGAAGCCCCGCAAGCTGCCCAGGGCCACCCCGTGCACCGCCACCGCCAGGGCCGCGCAGCGCGGGCCTGGCGGGGCGACTGGGCGACGGGGTTCGGATCGGTCGCCGGGGAGGTGCCGTCGGTGAGGTCGCTATCTGAGGTGGCAAGCCCAAAAGAAATACACGTTTTTGCGGCAGAAGGAACAAGTGTACGCTCGTTTTTGTGGCAAATGAACAATAGAACCAGGTTTATGTTTTGTTTGTTTTGTGTTTTCCCCGAAAGCAAGGCGCCCTTGATTTTCTATTTAGGATTCAGAGAACTTAAAACCATGAGACGTGGGAACCCCCACCCAAACTCAGCCTCCACCATTTTTGTGACTTGCTTTGCTGGTTTGCTTCGGAGTTGTTCCCGCTTCCCCGTTTGGTTTCCCATTTGCCATGTACAAGAACGAGGGCTTCCAGCCTCAAACCACCAACTAGGGCTTACCTGATTCTGACACAAACACCATATTCAAGAGCAGACCCCTGTTTCCTCCAAAGCACCTAAGGGTCACCACCGACCAAAGGAATAAACCGTGGCACTCTCATGTTTCCTCCCCTTGGAAAAACCGCAGGAAGAAACACGACTCGTTGGAGCTCTCCCTGACAGTCCTCCGTTCGCCCATCTCTAACCAAATGTAAGCCGACATTCAGCTTTATATGGGTATGGGTCAAAATCAAACCACCAGGGACCACAGGTCTTAGCTTTTGGCTCCATTTATCAAAATTTCATTTTGTGTACCTATTTTTGACCCACACCCATATTTCCTCCAAAGCACCTAAGGGTCACCACCGACTTCCTCAGGTCTCTCCGCTGCCCCGCCTGCCGCGGCAGCCACCTTCAGCTCCCAGCCCGGCCGCGAGCTGGGCCGGGGGCCTGAGCCCAAAGCCTCGCTGCGCAGACGCCTGGCCAAGCTTTTGGCCCCGCTCGGCCCGGAAGATGCCAACCTGCGGATGGTTGCGGAAAGCCTTGTTGGTATTTACAGGGGAATCATCCTTGGGGTTCCTAGGCGGTGCGAAATGGAGTTCATCCATCCACGGTATGCCCGGGAAATCGCGGCAACAACAAAAAAGCAGTGCGAATTTGAATGGGTCCAAAAGGAGCCTTTGGTGGACTGACTTCGAGGGGAGTCTTGCCGACTCTAACTCCAGGACTCCTTCCAGAAGGCGAGCCTGTCCAAACCGCTCCATGGATTCCTCCGAACCTTCCAATCCAGGCACAGCCGAAGCCCCGGATTCCAAACCTTCCAAACCTCCGGAACCCGACCGCAGAGCTCCAGACCAATTTGGGGTCAAAGATCCCATAGCCTTCAGGTGTTGGGACAAACTACGTGGGGAAAAGAACAAACCAATAAGGGTAGAATGATTCAAAACCATCCAACGTATCTTGAATACAGCCCTTTTAACAAGCCTGTATCAAGGGTTGCCCCGAAGCGAAAGACGAAGAAGGTTCCTTGGCTTTCAAACAGACCAGCACCAGCGTCCCTTGGCTTTGTTTGAGGCAGAATGGGCAGTGGGCCTAAACGCCAAAAAAGCTTGCACTGCCGCAGCCATCAGCCCCTCGGCAGGTTACCGTCAATGTCAACGCAGTACATGGGTTTGTCTCAAAATGCTGGACCCTCCAAAATGAATGCTTTCCATGCAGCTGAAACCTTAGCTGAATCTGTCTGAATTCATAAATGAAAAAACGGCTTGGAAGCTCCTGAACAAAAGGCAGTGAGACAAGTCAAATATTAAACACACAAAAAGCAAAACGAACAAGCAAGCGAGCAAACAAACAAGCAAGCAAGCAAGCAAACAAAAAAAACAAACAAACCACACAACCAACCAACCAACCAACCAACCAACCAACCAAACAAACAAACAAACAAACAAACAAACAAACAAACAAACAAAGAAACTAACAAATAGACTAATTAGCTAGCTAGCTAGCTAGCTAGCTAACTAACTAAGTAACTGAGAAGCAAACAAGAAACAAACAAGGAAACAAAGAAACAAGCAAAACAACTCTGGAAGGGATTTGGGTTTGACACAAAAGAAGCAATCAGCGAGTCTGAAGAGCAGGCGGCTTGGAAGCGGAGTCTCGTCTTCAATGTCTATCTGGAGCCCACCTGTGCCCCCCACGTCCCGCGTGCCTCTGGAGGGAAGCGCACCTGGCAACATCCTCCTCTCGAGATTGAATTGTGTACTTGGGCATCTCATCATCTCATGGCTTGGGGGGGGGGAGCCCAAATAAGCCCTAAATAAGGCCTCAATACGGGCTTAAGAAGGGCTTATTTGGGCTCGAAACCCCCGACCCTCCCTCCCCTCCAGCCCCCATGAGGACCTGTTTTGATAGGTGGATACCAATCAGATGCTAATATAGCCATATGGGTAACGAAGGCGAATGGTCTGCAAAAGGTGTCGCTTTCACCGTTTTTGTAGCTCGTGGCTAAGCAACAGCTGGTACGGCTCCGCACCGGCATGAATCATCCAGGGCTCGCAATCCAATCAATGCTCTCACATCACTCTGCATTTGGATGTTCACCGTGTTTTGTCAAAGGGATACCGGGTCGTCAAGCAGGGTGCTTGAAACAATCTTCCCCAATGCCCCGTTTCCAAAAATCATAGAAATAACCTCTCCTTGGCTTCCCAATACCCCGTGTCCAACAATCCTAGAGATGGACACAAAGGGTTTTCAAGAGGATGATACTGTAGTCCATTGTGGAAAGGACAACCGTTTGCCACGACCAAACCCTCAGTCCTCTTCTCCTTGCCACCCAAAAGACAGCAGACAGCCGGCCTGGTTTCCAGAAGGTTGATGCGCTTCCGCAGGTCGGCAACCTACCAAATCAGTCGGAAGTGGCTCTCGAGGGATTACGTTGGACCCGTGGCCGGTCACCCTACGTTGGAAGACCGCTAAAAGTGGTGGTTCAGCCGAATGTTCATCCACTGACAGAAGAATACCCCCCAAAACAAGTGGCCGGTCACACCAACTTCAAGGTGGTGGCTGATCCAAATGTTCATCCACTGGACGGACGCAGGGTTCAAGGATTACGTCTCAAAGATACATCCCAAAGCAAAATAAGGCAATGGCTGATCATCTCGTGGATGTTTCTGTACGCCTGTCTTGTGACACGATGGTGACCAGGGAGGTTGTTTCATCAACCCTCAAACTTTCCGCATCCCATGGGAGACGTTCTTTCTCTACTTTCCAGGTCTAAGACCTCTTAAATGTCTTCACTCCCAGGTAGACGGAAGGACATTCACAGCGGGCCCTTCCCAAGGGCTACTGTACCTACCGTTTTCAGGTGAACGCAGACAAATCGTAGAACCAGCTTTTGGCGATCTCTGGCGCGTTTCGGGGAGCGACACCTCTGCAAAGTTGTCCAGTGGCCGGAGCTCCTGGCAGCCACGCGGCGCACCCGCCACCCGCGGGACCCACGGGCGCGGAGAGGGGCCGGAAGTTTCAGGGGTCCAATGGCTTGTGAGAAAGTGGACATCCATTTGCCTCCTGTGCCTCGTGTTCTCATCCCTCGTGTTCTCATCCCTAAAGGCCAGGGGAACCACAAAGAGGAGCTTTTTGAGTTTGAATATCTTCAATGCTGGTCTACATTTGATCGTTGGATTGAAGTGCTTGTGTGAAAAGCTTGGCCATGAAGTCTTGATGGCAAAAAACAATGCCTCAGAGCTTCATGGGTAGCTCGCCCAACACGTGCACTGCAGCCAATGCTTTCTTGTCCTGTGCATCTGGACCTGTACTTGGTAATTCGGTCCACGCGAAAGGTAGTTCTGCGAAGTGGGGGCTCTGGTCAGACGCATCGGGAGGCGTTAAATGATCTATCATTGGCAACAAACAGTTCGCGCATGGAATTCTGTGCGGATACCCACACGTGTGCCATGGAAACACGCAAAACTATTCTAGAGCTTGACTCCCCATTCTTTTCAACCATCGTTTCCCTGAGTTTTTTGATGGTTCCCGAAAAAAGGGTTCCCGGAAAAAAGGATCCCTGGAAAGAATCGGGAAGCTTCCCCTAGAACCATTTGAGGTAAAGAGGGATGGTCCTCAACGCCCAGGCCCATGCCTCGTCCTCCAGCTCTTCGCCTAGCGGCTAGCGAAGCTTTGGCCCAAGTTTCCGACGAACGAGTTAGGTTTCGGAGCCCAATCCCAAAGGGGCGACCAAGTTGACTTGGGTGTTGTTTTTTGGAGGGTACCCCTTTTTGGTTAGCTTTCAAGGAAACCAACTGGAAAACCACCATTTGGGGGTTCACCTAAAACAAGACGCATCCATTTGTCTGACAACTTGAAAATATAGCAAACAAAATTCAAGTGCCAAGATCTCTCTTCTCACATGGCAGAAGCTGCAGAGTTCGCGCCTTGCAATTGCTTGCGTGGAAGTGCTCAGGGAATCATCGAAAGCTCAAATGTTCCTGTGGTCGGTCATAGTCATAGTCGCACTATGTTCAAAAACAAGATACAGGAGAGTGCGATTGCTCCAGCTCACCCCGCGACTGCACGCAGCTTAAATTAGCCACAGCGCTCACGTGAGTGTGAATTGGGGTTTGGTGGGTGTCTTTTTTGAGGGACCCTTTTTGGGGTCGGTTTACAGCAGAACCAGGAAACCACCCATTTGTGCCCACCAGCCATTGGTGTTCCAACCATTCGGAGTGGGTTGCCAAAATAGGGGGACCCCTAACTTGTGGGGTTTCTTTTGGTCGAGGAAACACGTTTTGCCTCGCAAAGGAAAGCAGAAGACCTAGGAATCAACAAATGCCTCATCCCCAAAAAGCGGTCCCCAAAAAAAGAGTACAACCCCCCCCCCTCGCCTTGCCTTGCCTTGCCTGCCTGGGAACAGCAGACGACCTAGGAATCAAAAACACCTCATCCCAAAAAGGCAGCCCCCCCAAAAAAAATACACACCCCAACTCCTGCTCCACACGAAACCCCGACCTCAGTCGCAGCCCCCCCTCGCGGGTCCCGGGCCCCGCCTGCCGCGGGCACGGCCACCGGCGCTTCCGCAGGCGGCGCCAGGCGCGCCGCGCGCGCCTCCACCGCGGCGGCGGCCGCGTTAACCTGCGGGGGTTGGGGTGGGTCGGTCACTCCCAACCCGCGCGGCCGCGGAGCGGGGCCCGCAAAGAAAAAGAAGAAAGCTGGAGAATTCCCTGCGGTAGTTGCGTCTAGCCGAATGTCGCACTTCAAAACCCATGGGGAAAAAGGAAAAAAAAAAAAAAAGAAAAAAAACGATGTCAATCTCAATACCGCAGTGCCCAGTTCTCACTTGCAATATGTTGAACAAGCAAACGCTCCGCTTTGCAGGGGAAGGGTCCGGGTTCGGTTGGGTTGGCAAGGGGTCAGAAGTGTCCCCTTCGTGAATTCCCAGCTTGAGGTCACAAATTGCCTCTCTGGCATGCCGAAAAAAAGGCTGAACAAAGTGACCCGTGCCGGACACCCGCAACTTTAGAGCCTCCCAGCTTGTGGATGGCTTCCAGTCCAACTCACCAACTCACCGGCCTGAGCTTCTGCCAACAAGTCCTGGGACCTGGCCGTGAAGGCCAAGGCTAGGCGACGATAGGAAGTCCTTGGGCTTTCCAACTTGCGACTCCCAGAATGTTCGTAACCCACGGAAAGGGGGCGAGCAAAGGACAGTCCAGCTCGCCACAGCCTGAGTTCCATGGTTGCCATGGCCAGAATTTCTCATAGACGCCCGCAGGGTTGCCAAAAGAAGAGTCTTTCAGAATGTCCATCAAGAGGGAAAGTGTGTTGACCCTTGTGGAGTACCATAGCCCGCAGCCATATCGAACTGAGCTTAGGTGGACTTTACCGTCATGCACAAGCTACACAAGTACATGATGGCGAGTGATCCGAGACCAAGGGTTGCAAAAGTGCCAAGTACCTCCGAAGGAGTTACTATTTCAGAATTTCAAGGTACGCCTCAACCCAGGCTGCAGGAATCTGGCCGTGGAGTAGAATCCCAACATAGTTTTCGATTATCTTTCGTAGTGGATAAGTTCCCCATTCTCCCTAGCCGCGCAAATTCCAGAATTTAGGCCCGGGACACACCTGTAGAACAAATCAAACATGCCTTTCCAAACCTACGACCAGAATCAAGAACCCTTCAAGCATGCCCCAAAAACCTTGGGGTGGCCAACTGCCAGAACCACTCGACTCACCCCCGCGCCCTTTGGTTTGCAAACTTCAATCATGTCCCAAAGACCTTTGCGTGGCCCACCGCCAGAACCACTCGACTCACCCCTCGCGCCCTTGGTTTGCAAACTTCAAACATGGGTGGCCCACCGAACCACCCCTCACCCGAGCCCCCAACCTTTGCAGCTCTTCCCGCATGGTCTGCATCTCCACCTCCGCCTGGCAATCGGGGGCCCCTATGCGGATTGTGAGGATGGCGCCATCCCTGCGCGGCAGTTGAAGAGTCCATCGAGCTAACATATGTTTCTCTGCGTCTGATCCGCGAGCAAAGGATCGTTCTTGTACCATGGTGAATTTGTTTTCTTCTTTTACTCCCCAGGTGAGCTCGCCGCTTTTTCTGCAGATTTATTCACCCACCAAAAACAAGGGACCCCCAAGAAAGGAATAGGTTGCTATAATTTGCCTAAAATACGTATAGGGGTCAAACTAGGGAACCCTTCCAAATAAGTGATTCCCCTTCAGCTTCATGTGAAGTACAAATGTGTGGGATATAAAAAAGGCGACTAATAATCGCCAGAAGTGGCTGTCTCGATTTGCCGCCAGAAAAGTACAAACCTTTGTGACTAAGGAATGACGCCAAACAAAGGCCCATCTGACCAGCACATTGTTCAGGCAGCCCGGACTCTACAAGATTCATCCACTCATGCCTGCGGATCATCAGTGCAAAATAGTGTCGATTGGGCCCGACATGGAATCACCGCAACAAACAGTGGACTACCAAGAACATTGTCAGTGAGTCACATGGATGTCTGCGGCTTGGCTCTACCCCAACAGAGAAATGGAGCAACCACCTTTCCGAATGCTTTCCTTTGTTGTTGGGAGGGTATTTTCAAAAGGGGTGGCGATTGAATTCAAATGACCGAGCTGGAATCACTAACCACTGGCCGTGGCTCCCTTGAAAGGGACTGCTCATCTCAATGTAGTGACAAATGCTCCATATTATATATATATATATATATTATACACACTGTATAAGAAAAAATACGGGCCCATTGAAGTGGCATTCTCAAAATTACCTCAAAGTGACATCCTGCAAAATGCCCGGAGACCAGGACGACCGGGCGCAACCTGACACCCTCGTCGGCACCTTCAGCCTCTGCTCCTCCAGCTGGCCCTGTAGCTCCTGAGGCAACTTGGAACGTTCAGTCTCCGTGAATAATCAGCAAAAGGCATGCCTATGGAAGACACCTGTTTGAATGACATGGTCCTAGGGGTTGATTCCCCATTCTTTTCAACCATCGTTGGTTCCACAAACCGGCCGTTTTCCCTGCGTTTTCGGAGGTTTTCTGGAAAGAATGGTTGGAAGGTACCCCTTGAATAGTCATTCAGGGAACCCAACAAAGAGACCCCCGTGAAAGGAATCTTTATCCGCGAGGTCAAGAAGCAAACGCTCGGTAGATTGCCGACTCCCCTGATTCTAACAACAATGACACCCTCAATTTCTCAATATAGGCCCCTCCTCGAATGGCTAGGTGCCTTCACCCAAAATATGCGACACCTCAATAAACAAAAGGGGCGGCATCTCCAAAGGATCTCTTTACCTACCTTTGCTTGGGTGATCAAATACGTGGGTTCCGAGAAATGGATAGACTGCCACACATATGGGCCAGTCTCTTTTGAGGGTACACACCAGCATCATTCTTGCCAAAGATCAGCCTGCCGGTTGATATCATCCAATGATAGTTCAACATCCAAGCAACAAGCCCAAACCCTTTGCCGAACGCTCCTGAAGCTCTTGCTGCTTTTGCTCCTGCAGCCGTTCCTGCTCCTGGGATGCACAAAAGGCGGCAAATGGACCTTGCAAAGACGGGTCTGAATGGTCAGTCAAGTTCTTGGAGTGCTCATTATGCTTAAAAAAAAATGCAACCGAGTTCCCTAAGTTCAGACTGTACTGTTTATCCGCAAAGAAGAAGGGGGCTGCCTCACAACACATCGAACCCACACTCATAAGATATCAAGGTAACAGCCCCAAATACGTCATGGAGCATTCCAACCACCGTAAAACACACTGGTAAAATATTCACTGGGTGGACCAGCTCTGACATTTTCCCAGCGGAAGGTCCCAAATCGCCAGCCGCATTTCGACAGACGCCTTCGTCACTCGTCACAACCCTTTTTGGGATTCCGTTAGGATCCGTCAGCTTTTCAACTGGCCCTTTGGGGAAAACTCCATGAAACGCAATGCAACAGTTTGCGATCCGAAAGTCGGCATGTTGGAAAACCGGGCGCGACCCCAAATCTGCGATCCCGATCCGAGACACGTCCGATCCGATCCGACCCACGGAACATGTACGACTCGCCTTCTGCAGGAGCTCCAGCTCCACCTCATGGGCCTGGCGGAAGCCCTGCAGCTCCTCGCGCCGAAAAAGAAAAGGCCCAAAGGCCTCAAGGGGCTGGGGTGAAGCGACGGTGACATGTCTTGTTCTTTTTCAGTTCAGACAGTCCATTCGCCGATGGATCCAATCGGAAGATATACTTCGGGCATTCCACTTGAGCGGCAAGGACATGAAGGTCTCGCACCTCTTTGCCATTTGTTTGACGGGGCCGCAGAAGCACAAGTACATGGGACTCGCAGGGCAAAAAGAACATTCTTGGCGCGAGGAAACACGCAAACTTGCGAGGCTTCGTGCGAGCGCTCACTTGCCAGGTCGCGCTCCAAGCGCTTGAGCTTCACCGGGTTTGAACGGAAATGCGGTCTTATGAACGGGCAACAGAAGGCTCCAATCGAGCTGCAATGCATCCAATCCAATCCAACACTTCCATCCTGCCTGCTCTAAAGGCTCCACCTGCTGCCGGCTCGCCGCCAAAGCAGCCTCGCGGGAGGCTTGAACCCTTCTGAGGAGTTGAGGGGCACCCTGCGCAACTAACATGGCTTTGGCTTGGTGCAAAGAGGCCCTTCCTTCCGAAGCGGAGTTGTTGAGTTGTTGATTTGGAGAACAACAACAAACACCCAAGTTGTGTGTCCCCTACTTTTAGGGAACCCCATGTCAAACTGAGGAGCCGAAGCCAGAGCCTTCGCCAAGTTTCCGCGCCGCGAACGCCACTGGATTTGTTCCCTCCTTGCCCAATGTCACTCCTGCCAGCATCCAAGCCCGATACATACCCCACCTCATTGGCCCCTTCCCATCCCTTCCCAGGCTAGAGGAAACAAGGCCGTAGAGAATTCCGCCAGGCACAGCTACCGTGGCTTTCCTGCTCGTGTTGAATCACGCTTCTATCTTGCCCCTTACAGCCTGATGTGCCAATGCGCTTGATCAATTGCGGCTAACAACGCCCCGTACAACCTTGCCCAAAAAGCGTGCACTGCCCTGGAGCCTCCGCCTCCCAAAGCCGCGCGGCCAGAGACTTCACCTCCTGACCGGACCAAAAAAACCATCGGCGCAGGCGCCCAAAGAACCGAAAGAAGCTGAAGGCGGGCTTCCCATGATTTTGGGCCGGGGGGTGGTCAACGCCACGACCCCCCACTTGGCAAACATCATGAAATTTATGCCAGCTTCTCGGAGAGACCCGTATACAAAACAATAAGTTCTCTAGGGGTCTCAAGAACCACAAGACTTTCTTGCACCACCTATTTGAGCCATGTCCAAAACGTGTCATGATCTGCAATGTCATGCAGTCTTGGCGACCGCCTCCGAACGGAATGCAGAACGCACCGTTCCGGATGCGTTCTCCGAACGCGGTTTCACACTTCTTCAGCCCCCGAAAAAAAGCAATCTGGACATGTTGAGGCTCCAAAAACGCATTTGGCTGGGCAGGGCACGAGGCAAGGAACAGTGCCACAGGACCACGATTTTCAGCCACCAACAAAGCATTTTGGCCCAGGCCAAAGCAAGGATGACTGCCGCAAGGCCAAGAAACGACCACGGGAAGACTCCCACAACACTCGTGTAAACCTCCGAGATCACTAAGAATTCTCAGGGTTCCAGATGCGTTTTCCAGCCAAGCAAAAACGCACTCAAACTTGTTTTCCTTTTGCTACGCTCGTTTCCGAAGGTGGTCCTCCGAAGCATGGTTTTCGGAAGGAATAAGAGCCAGATGAAACGCGTTCAGACATTGTTCTCCTTTCGCTCCTTCGCCCGTTTCCGGAGTTCCGAGGACCTTGCTTTTGGCTTCGGCAATGCCTTGTTTTTGCGGCCCAAAAAACGCATCTGGCTTCCCATGGTCTTACGATAGTCTTCCTGGGAAGATTACGGGAACGCGGAAACCTACGGGAAGACTCCCGGAGCCAGATCCGTTTACTGAACCTCGACTCAGACCTTGGCAAGGGACAAGGACTCCCGGAACACTCACGGTCCGAACGCCGAACGCGTGATCCTAACGCGTTCAGCGAGCGTACCAACCGAACGTGCGAAGCGCAAAGCGCGTAGTTGTTTGCTTGCGCCAACAGCCTACGCCACCTTACGCGCGTAGTGTTTGCGAACGCACGGGTCGATATGACTGAACTCTTACTAAACATGTCATGTGGATGAAGGTGTTGGACTCGGTTGGTCAGGACAGTCCTCAACAAACATTCATGTATAGCACCGGGCTTGGATTGTGGCTCATCCGTGACAAAAAAGCTGGTAGCGCTTTCCTCGGGCAATACGTTTCTTTCATCATTCAACTTGTTTGATGACAAACGAAAACCAGCAAGTGCCGTCATTGCCCATACGCGCACCCTTATGATCACAAAAGGCTAGATACATCCGGCTTGAGCTGAAGACTGCCGCAAGAGCCGTTTCTAACAAACCCAAGGAAGCTCTTCCAAATAGAGATTCCTCTACAAACTTCTACACACCGCGCCAATGTACCATCAAATTGTGCCACATCAACTCCTGGCATCGCCCTTCAATCTGCAACTACGCACATTCGCAACATCTCCAGGCGCTTCAGGCTGACATTCTCCCCTTCAAACAGCTGGGCTCCAAAAATTAGATTCGTGCATATATATATATATATATATATGTAGATACATATGCTCGGGCCGAAAGAAGCAAACCGTCTCATCCCCGGTAGAACTCTCCAGCGTTCCCCGAAGCCGTCCTGCGCCTGCTGCGTCTGCAGCCGCTCGGCTGCAGAGGTACGCGCCCGGGCAGCCTCAAGGCCAAGCATATTGCGCTGGAATCTGGAAATCAGAACTCGTCCGCCGCGATGGGTTGCCCGGCAAATGGAAACATGGATTAAAACCTGCGGTCCCCTGTTGGTTTAATTTTGAGCCATACCCATTGAAACCGTTGCAGCGCCCAAGGTTTGCACCGCAAACGAACAGGCAGAAGCAACGCCGCAAGCCCCATTCGGCTGGGCCAACTGCAATGCGAAGCTGACACGAGCATGTACAGCGTGAGACGCCTTCCGCTTCCACTTGAACGCTTCGCTGGCACGGCCTTTTTGGAGCCAAGGAAAAAGGGGCCCTGCCCTCGGCCTGCGAAGATCCGTGCATCCGCAACTCCAAAGTTTCTCCTTGCATGCGATTAAAACCAGAGCTTTTCAACGACTCCTTCGCCAAGTCACCAACAAAAACAAAAACAAAAACGCCCCGAAAAAATGGCCGAGGCTTCAGCTTGCAATTTCCCTCAACCAACAAAGGCGACCCAAAGACACCACGCCTCCTCGGCGTCCGCCAAGGCCCGCTGCAGCCGCGTGAGCTCCTCGGCGCTGCCGACGTTCACCGCGGCCAGCAGCTCCTGACGAGCGAAGCCGCGGGCAAAAAAACGAAGCCACGAGAAATCGGCGGGGAGGGATGGAATGGAATCCCATTTCTGGGCTGCCCTCAGGTTTTCTGCTAAAAGTTCAACTTTTAATGGGTTCAATGGAAACTACCACTAAACACTAGAAGGCTAAAAAAAAGCTAAGGGGAAGGCTGGGAGCCACCAAGATTTGAGAACCATCCAACTCGTGGTTTCCTTCGAGGGACAGATCCTGCTAGCCAGCGGGGGGAAGTCCAAGGCCTTCCTCTCATTTCTCCCGGCACCGGGGTTCTATTCTTATCAAAGTGATCAGACATACCTGGGGCGGCAATTTCTCGCAGAAGAACCAAGGATGAGAAACTTGATGGAAAGCGGAGCAATCCGCGTAGATAGCTCTTGATCTCCAACCAGCTACCAGCTGCAGAAGCAAGGGCAGCCGGCAAGGTAGCCCCCGCCGGGCTCTCAAACCAAAGGCTAAGGCGACACCCCTTGCCTGTGGACTGTTGCTCCCGAGTGTGCCATTTTGCTTCGAGCTGGATTGAGGTATGTCCGAACTTCACCCGGGGTGAAGAGAAATAAAATGCCAACCATTTTGGGAAATGCAGTCCCTGCTAACAAAGGAAACAAGAAACAAGAAACCCCGCCCCCACGCCACCAAAAGAACACCCAGCAAGCCAGCTCCTTGTTCTGCGCCTTTGCACATTGCAGCTGCTCCTCAGGGATGTGCCACTCATGAACCCACTTATGTGCTCTGTTTCAAGTTGTTTGGGGTCGAAAGGCAGAAGAAGTTCTTCCTGTGTTTCGGTGTTTCAGAGGTTCAGCCTCAGAGGTTCCTCAAGCTCAGAGGTTGGAAAGGTTGCCAACTTTTCAGCTTCTTCCTCTGGCTTTCTGTGGCGAAAACGGCGACTTGCACTCTTGCAGCCAAGCCCCCAACACCCGACCCAACCACTCAAAGCACTGGGCTGTGCGAGCATAATATACACGCCGATCACCAATCTGACCAAGAGCAAGCCCTCCAAGCCCTCTGTCTTAGACCTTTCGACTTTGCTAGCCTGAGAATGGCATGTTGTTTTTTGCATTGCTACGGCCATCCACTCAGAGAGACTCATAGTCCTTGAGCACAATATGCTCAGGGACTGCACTGCGAGAAAGGCTGCAATCCATTCTGTCACCCCCGCACTTGGTGGGTTCAGCTGACAGCTTCAAGGCGATATCTTTCACTTCGGTTCGAAGGAAGTGCTTCGAGTCCCCACAGCACCACTTCAAACGACCGATTCCTCTTCTGCAGGCATGCAAAAACCGCCAAACAAACCCGAATTCGAAGAGGAAGCTCCATCTGGGAACCACCTTTTTCTGGGGTCGCAAATTTGAAGGGGACTTTGATCGGGCTCGCGCTAACCTGGGCCGAGCCGAATGCCTCCAACTCCTGCGCCCGCCGCGCAGTGGGCGCCAGGTCCTGGGGATCCAAAGCCGCGAACGGAGTCCCAACATCCAAAGAAGGATCGGAACCTTCTCTCACCTTCCCAGGTGTTCACCGTTCGAGCTCCGGACTCAGAAAGGCAAGGGACGGACAACTTCCGCCGAAAATCGTGAGACAGAAGAGCCACAGTCTCGAACCTACCTTTTCTCAAGGTTGAGCCTTTGGTCTGGCTCGGGAGTCCCGCCCCATCCGCCCTCCCCGCTGGCCCTCCGCCCGCCGCTCCTTCCTGGCGGCCTCCAGCTCCGCCTGCAGCGCGGCACCCCGCTCCTGGCTCTCCTGTTGCCATGGAAGGCTTCACGTGGACTAGGTCCTCCAGTGGAGAGGATAGAATAAGTTGCCGCCCGACCTCTTTTTTTTCCGGTGTTGTCTATTTTAGTAGGGGAACCCTCCCCAATAAAAGGTGGTAAAAGGGCACTGGGGGACCTAGTGGATGATCGTGGCCATGGCTGCAGGACTCCTGAAATCCTTTTGCGAAGTATCAAGAACCGTGAACTGTTCACAACCCTCCCCCACACTGGAAAACCTGAAAGCCCTAAGGAAGCATTGCTGGGTCCTCTGAGACCACCACCGGGCCTACGAAGGTGACTCCCAGAAAATTGCCATCCACATGCTGGCTGTGTTCGTGACATTCCCCCACCAATACTGTGGATGGACGAAATTCTGCACCACCTAAGAAACCCTGGAATGATGATTCCTCCATTAAATACCAACCAACAATCGTGCCCATGGTTCAAAGCGGTGCAGAATTTCGTCCATCCACAGTATGACTGAATAACTATCAAACTCCATCTCTAACTGGCCACATGACCTTTTCACCGTCAAAGTCCCCTCCCAAGTCGTAGGTCAAAGGACAAAAGCGTCTTAAACCGCATAGTCTCTGTTGGATCCTCACTTTGGAGGCGCTGAGAGTGACAAGGAGAAAACGGAAAAAAAGACAAAAAGAAAAAAGGCCAAAGGGAAACTCTGGGATTGGGTGGTGACTCACCGCCTTTCTCGTGTCAAAGCGAAGCCGAAGCCCGCGAAGCGACCAGGAACTCCTGGAGCTCTGCGGCCAGCTTCTTCCGCTGCTCCTGCACCCTTTGCAGCTCCGCCTCACAAAACTTTTGAAATAGACGGGAAGCAAACGAAAAGCGTTCGCTGCGATCCACATCAACACAACTGTCGCAACTGCACCTGCCAGACTCAAAAACCCTTTCCGTGTAGTCTGAAACAGATTGACAAAAGAACGCCATCTGGAGCGGAACTGAACAGATTAACATAGAGCCACCATGGAAGCTGTAAATCCCCGCAGGCTCACTTTGATGCCTTACAATTTTTCCAACACTACAATTCCCCCCACCAAAGCAGTACCTGTGGGAGGGTACCGGGAAGATCTACTTCCTCGACTCACCGTTTCCTTATTGAGTGACGAGCACGAACAGGTTGGGACCTTTTGAACCAAATCCCAGAGCACAGTCAGAAGTGAATCAAAAAAAGGTTTTCTCTTTTGCTTGGAACCCTTTTTGGGACAATCCCAACCAGAAAACTCGAAAGAACCGCGCTCCGCGGCCTGGAGCACTCCTGCGCCGGCCTTGGCCGCCCCGGAGGCGTCCGTCTGGCACGGTCAGGGAGGCTGAGCGTCACATGCAAGTTGGTTCAGAGGTTCCCAACGAGACAGCAAGCGACGTGTTCCTTTTTGCATCTGTCGCAACGCAAGGTATCAAAAGGCTCCAATGGTATGGCAAACCTGTCAGAAGCACAAGTCAGAATAGGTTCCTGTGCGCTCCACTGAGTATGTTAATCGTATCCTTCCTGGCCGTAACAGTACATCTCTTCCACATACATTTCTATATCCGCAATCCATCTTGTACCATGATCAAACAGGTAAGCGTCGTCATGATCTGCAAACACGTCATGATCTGCAAACACCTTAAACTCCGCCACGGGCTGAATAGGCCTTGGTTGCATGGTCGCAAACTGTGGCACTTCCTCCTGATCTTCAGGGTCTACATGGAAGAAGCTGTGTTGCAAAGCCTCCCAAGCTCGCGCGCGTTTGAAGCGACTGCACAAGGTCATGTGCTTCACAAGATCAGCACCGTGCTTGTGAAACAGCGTGCCCGTGAGCCTGCCATATTGGCGCAGACCATCCAATGCATCTTGCATATTTCCTCGGCGACCTTCTAATGCTGAACTGAAGTGTGTGCGGAGAGAAGCTCGTTTGCTCTGGCTGCTCCAATCACACTTGTGATGATCCAAAAGTCTGGTACTTTCATCCATTCCAAGCAACAGCTCGGGCATGATGATGCCTGCACCGTAGATGTCCCGCCGGTGTCCGTACAAAACATTCCGGCCATGTTTGCTTCGGCCCGGCTGGGGCTTTAGCACTTCCGGAGCACTGTGGTAAGGATTGGACCGGTAGCACACCTCTGCCTCACAACCATACTCAGAATTCCCCATGTCCACAAGTTCATGTTCATTGACAGCAGACTCGAAATCAATCAAAGTAAGCTTCCCCTCCGCGTAAAGCACATTCTCACGCTTGATGTTGCAATGGACGATTTCGTGAACGTGCAGCACATCAAGGACTTGGAGCAACTGCTTCATGTACCCCTGAATGTCCGTAGGCTCTTTAGGTGAATAGTTACCCCGGATGTATGGAAAGTACAGACTCCGTAGCTTCAAGGTGTCGCACTCAGGAAACCATGCCGGCGAGCAGCTGGACCAAGCCAGAACAGGGAGCACTGCTTCTACCTTTGACAAGGACTTGATAATGGCAGCCTCATACAAGAGTTGGTCTTGGAGAGATGAATGAGGTCGAAATGGACGACGCATGGTCTGTTTCAGGTATGTTTTCCTCACAATCTCACCAAAGGTTTTGGTCTTCACGACTGAAACATCAATGGTACTTTCACGGTGCAAAGTCTGCACGACATGTTCAATGTCATCTTCATCTATATTGGCACATAGGAAATCCAGTTCGACTACTTGATCTCCAACCACAACTGTGTGACCCGAACTCTGAAGCTCGAGATGCCCTTCCAGAACTCGCTGTAGCAGCTCAGCCTTTGCAGTTGCCTCCTTATCTAAGCCATAGGGCCTCAGGACAAGTTTCCCTCCTTTCAATTCTTTGGACTTGAGAAGAATCTGATTGGTCTTGTCTTCATCTGTCCGAGAACTCACTGCAAAGCTTCCACTTGGGCTGTGTGCTTCACTTCCATCGTCATCTTTGAATCCGGTAAGACGGGCCAAAGCTTGTTGCTGGCAGCCCTCTTTGCCTGCCAATCCGTGCACTGGGAAGGATTCGTGCGTGCCACTGCTGTCTGAGCCGCTTCCCGGAGTGCATTTCTCTCTTCGGATCACCTCCTTCATGTGCATACAGTCCGAATTCCAACTTATCTTGGACATGAATCGGCAAATCCACGGCTCAATTGCAAGTGGATTCACGTCTTTCCTAATTGTTTGCAGACTTGAGCCAGCAGGTGTGTTGGTGAAAAGCAATTCATTCAGTTGACTCATATCCACATTGCTTTGTTGTGTCCTACGCAACCCATCTTTCTGCATGGATTTGGATTGCCAACCAGCAATAGTCATCTAGTACTAATCAGCAATTTCGAGGCAGCCCCTGAAACAATCTGCGATTGTTCATCAAGCTTCGTGTGGAAGAACGAAGAATTGTGCAAAGGCCCCCCCCGCCAGCCCCCCGCCCCGCGCCTGGCTATCAGCATCATTTCGGGGCGACTCCGGGATACCATCCTGCGAGAAACGTCTTTGGGAGAAGCCTTCGAACAAAGGCCGCCGTCTCAAAACCAAAGATCCTCCATTGCAGCCGAACCACTCCAGGAAAGAGTTCCAAACCCAAAAAAGAACGGGCAGTACCAAGAAGCCGTCGCTGACTCGGGAAACCAGTGGCCGCCGCCCTGCCTCCACGTCGGACTCTGGGAGCTCGAAGGTGAGGATACCAGGCCGTGGCATCTCCTGACCCCTACCTTGAAGGGGGCTGGAGTTGGCAAAAATGTCGCGTGCAATCCTGCAAGTTTGACGTCTCCTCCCAGTGTTTCCATGGCTAGAAATGGGTTCAAGAAGCTCCAACCAATTGTCATCAAGCAAAGCTACTATCCACATGAGGTTTGACTCTCCTGTACAGCGCAGAATGCGTGTTGTCTTTGGCGATCCTAAATAGGCTACCTGTTGCTTCTTATTTTGCCGTGACCAGGAGCAGCAGGTGTCTCCAAGAGCAATGTCTGAATGCAAGGCCATCAGAGCGCGGGTAAACTATCCTTGCTTCCGCAAGAGCGCACAAGAAGCTTGGGTGGAACCCCCTGGTTCCTGTGGAAAGGTGCCCCCTTCTGGTCCCAACACATGCCCACATGAGCGCTTATATCTGCCATCTAAATGTGGCTCAAAAAAAGTTGGGCCAAAACAGCACCTTGGAAAATAGACGCAAAAAACCTGCGTAACCCTGGCTCTTCAATTTTGAGCCACGCCCTGATCAGAAAGGCCCCCCAGCCCCAAGGAGTCTCCTTGAGCCACTTGGCGATCAGCGCGCGGGCGCGCTGCTCCTCGAAGCCCGACTCGTAACTGGGCACCTCGGTGTGGAGCGACCGGATGGACCAAGGGGCGGTTGCGGAAAGAGTCTTGGAATGGCTTCCTTCGATTTGCGCATGGACCCCCCCCGAAAAAAAGGCCGAAATAATGTTTGGGTTCATGGGATTACCCAACCGAAAACAGCAAGCAAGAACAACAAGCGGCTTTTGGTCCCTGCCACACCGATCCCTGATTGGTGTGAAATCAATAGAAAGGGAGCGACAAAAAAGTGACACAAACGGCCAAAAGACAACGTCTTAAAGCATCTCATAGGGCGCAAGGAATATGATGAGACCAGACCCTCAAGAACCAATGTTTATCACCAAACTTGTCCTACAATTCCACGGAGGAAAGACCCCCTCCTGTCTGAAGCCCCCAAAAAAAGGCAACGACGGGGCCACAACAAGCAGGCACACAAGCCGACCACAGCAAACATGACATGTTTCTCAACAGCCCACCCGCCCGGAGGGAGCGGCTCAACCTCTCCGAGGACACTCACACACTATACGGATCGCCCAAACATCACTCGAAGGCCGGTGAGCACCCCGGTCGATGCGACGGAAGGATCCATCCTCAAAAATCCACAAATGTTAGCACAGGCACACACCTAGCAAATAAATTCAAATAAACGACTCGCTGCGCAACTTCCCTTCTTCTTCTTTGTTCTGGAACGCATTGCTCACTAAGTCTGGGCGCTCTTTCAAGACACGCGGGCACTGATTGAGAGATGCTTTTGCCCAATCCCGCAGCCCACATCGCCCTGCCGTTTGCTCGCGTCTCCCGGCCTCGTATCCGTCCACCTTCACCAGCCGGTCTCCGATCTCCACCCCCAGCTGCGCCGCCTAGGGACATCCGCTTTGGGACCAAAGGAGCATTCGCCCAAAACACCTTTTGGTTGATTGAAACATCAGCTTGTGGTTTCCATCCAAAATGAGGTTCCTTTGGGGGTTGAAGGCGACGCATAATTCTTCCCCCTCCTATTCTGTCTCAGAAAAAAGACCTTGGCACATCGGCCAGGCTGAAACCTCTTTGCCATCAGCGGGGGGCCTCACTTGAGTTGCCTTGAATCGGAAAAACTGTGCGTCCGGCCTGCGAGTCGGCCGCCACAGCAACCACCAGGTCTCCCTCCAAGGTGAAGCCCAAAGGTCCCTCGCGAAACTCCAAGTCCTGAGGCTATGGCTTATGGGGCGTCTGAGGGCTTAAGGGTCTGCGACTCCAGCGCTTCTTCTGGGCAAGCCCTTCACAAAATTCAGGCTGCCAGAGTCCCCTCTTCCCTGTGCCTCAAAAGTCGCTGCGAGGCTCAACTCACAACTGTACATCCCAGAAAAAGAAAAGAAAAAAAAAATACCCAAAAAATGTCTTGTCTCTGTACGCGTCCCAGGCAAATCCCTGCCTTTCGGAAGTCGTCTGGCGCGCCGCCCACTGAATCCAGGACCTTGAAACCAAAACCTTTGCCTGCTTTTCCTGGAAAAGACAGTGAACATTCATGCGATTCATCACTGAAACGAGCCTCACATTGGGGAAACCTCTGCGGTCAGACATAACTTCATGACTTTGCCGGTAGCCAAACGCGAAACGATACCATGCCTCAAGAAGCCGAGGGTGACTGGGCTCTTGAAATATCCCACAAATGAAAGAAGCCCAGTGATTCAACATGCCAACATGATATAATTGTCCGTTTCACATGCTTGATTGCTTGCACAAATGACATAGACAAACCGTTGTCACTTGTGTGACGAGTTTTGCAAGCCCAGCAAACAGGTGCGATCATCGGAAACGGTGCTCGAGTGTTTCCGTTCAATGTCAATGATTCAATGAATTTCCCACATCACCGTAAAGCACGAGGGAAGACCTTTGTCAACCATCTTTGATGCACCTTTTGTCTGTTGTCGCCCCGTCCCCTTTCCGTCCCTCCAATTCGAGGTCACTGGGAACCCGTGCCCCCTCCGCGAGTTTGGATGCCGACTGGTGCACCGCGGAAACATGCTGATGTGCAGCCTGCAACAAGCGCTGTCAGTCACTGAGTTGCAGATCACATGCACAGCGAAGCTTCCACATGCTGTAGCAAGTTCACACGTTTGCGCACAACGTTGATGGAAAGATACGCTGCCCGGCATAGTTGTTCCCAATAATGTTCACATTTTGAAGACCCATGTGAAAACAGCTGCAACCACCCAACCACCCAATCATCCGACCAGCCAGCAACCCGGCCTGCGCAAACTGGTCGGCTTTTGATTTTATCCAAGTATCCATGGCATGAGGCCATAGAGGTCCGAACGACAATGTTCACAAACAACAGGAAACATATCAGTCACGTCACTTGCGATCTGCAGCATGAGAAGGCACTGTTTTTCGCTGATGCAACGTCAGTACTTACATACGCAATGCACTGTTGGATGCGCAAAAACCGGTGCAAAGCTGAAACCTCCTTGATGCCCTGAATGTTTTGCCAAACAAATTGGCACATGAGCCGAAACGCTCGAAATGTGAATTTGTCCACGCGTCTCAAATCTATCTCGCATACCTGCCTGGCACTCTGGCTTTGTTTCCGTCAAATAACCAGCACAAGCCGCACAAGCCGATGAAGTTTACCAAGTGTTTGCTGTATTTCCGCGCCTTCATCACAAATCCGATTGAATTTGTTCTTACCAAAACCTTCACCAACTAAATACATGGCATGTGTTTTGGTGCCACCAACGAAACAATCTGAACGACGGGTGGCCATGGTGGTGCGAAACCAAAAACCCGCCAAAACAGGACTTGGTAATCGGTGAGGCTTCCTCTGCGCCACTCCCTTTCCGCTGGTTAAATTTGTCTACACGAGTTTGCCAATGACTGCGCGCTCCTATCTTCCAAGGACTAAACACATGACTTAGCCAAAGTGGTTTGATATATTTTACAAAAAAACATCGCGCGCGAGAATAGTCAAGTCTCACAAGTCAAGTCTCACAAGTTATGTTGAGGAGGCCCTCCTCGATGGAACTGATATAAAAAAAACCTGAGATTCGGACCTGGCAAAGCCATTTCCTTTGTTTCTCCACGCGGCCATTTGCGATCACGCAAATCCGCAGTTTTTGCGTCGAGGCGAGAAAAAAAACCGAGGCAAAAACGGAACCAAGCCACAGAACAAAGCACAACACAGAACAAACACACAGAGCAAGTCCTCGGCTCGAGAAGTACCAAAAGAACAAAAGGCACGCCGCGCAAAAGCAAAGCAAGCAAACAAGTCGACCTTTTTCATGCAGGGAGACGTCCATGGCCGCTCGAGCCTCTCTAACAATTGCTTAGAGGGGCTAGGTTTTGTTGGAGCCGGACCCTGTGTTAGTTTACTCCATTTGCTGGCTTTCTCGCCGTAGGGATTGCCTTAGGACGTGCCTTGCCGCAGGGGCACGCTCCGTCTGGGACTTGCTGGATTTTTCGTTTTTGACTTTGTGTCGAGCGAATGGCAGCTATTTTCCTGTGGCAATTAGAGCCTCCGTTGCGGCACATGTACATCATGCTTCATGCATGCGGACATGACTGAACAAAAGAACAATCCTCACATGCTGCCTTCTGCGGATTTGAAACACTTGTGCACCTGTCGCTCACTCTTGCAGTGGGGACATTTCTCATGCGTGTGACACACGTTGCCTGTCGGCAACATTCGGACCGGATTGGTCCTCTTCCTCAGTTCGCTACGTGGCACTCACCTCCGGCTCGCTGTCGTTGGCCTCCTGAAACGTTGCCTTGCCGGAGATGACGATCTCCTTCTGGATCTTCTTGATGAAGAAACTCCATAGCCACTGAACCAGGCTCAAGGCTTCTATGCCGGCCAAAATGGCTAGCACCGGCCACATCCAGCTGTCGCTCTCCGCTCCATTGGGTTCAAACTCCCCCTTGGTTCCACTGGCTCTGATCACGTTGGCGAAGGCCACCACCAAAGCCATGCGGCACTCATCCTTCAAGCCGCTGAGAATCTTCTTGGCGCCTTTCCCCGAGCTCGCGGTTGTCGTCGTCGACCATGCCCGTCATGAACATCAGTCCTCTCATCCTGGCGCGTGCCAGCGCCTTGGTCCATGAGGTTGCCGTCGAGGAGGGAGAGTGTAGGTGAACAGATCGTAAGGCCCCCAGAAAAAACCGACACACACCGACAGAAACCGACAGAAACCAACAAAAAGCGACAAAAACCGACAAAAACTGACAAAAACTGACAAAAACTAAAAAACTAGACACCGATTATCCTGAAAGCGTGCATGAGCAAGGTGATGCAATAATATTGGGGTATATCTATGATGTTATGTATATACACTGCTTCTCTCTCTCTCTTTCTCTCTCTCTCTCTCTTTATCTTTATCTCTTTATCTCTCTTTCTCTCCTTAGGATAAGAAAGACAGGATATAGAAAGGATAGAGTGGTAGACAGGAGATGGATTTCTTATTAATCCTACATTCCACTTCTGGAGCTATTCCATGCCTTATCTCCCCATCATTTATCTCTGAGATTTTACATTGTGGAAGAGCTCCAGAGAATGAAGGCATCTTTATCTTTCTTTTACTTTCATTTCCTTTCTTATTAGCTCTCACATATAGATCCACAGATTATTAACAATGTGACATAAAAAAAGCAAGTGAAAGAAACTCAAGGAACCAACCCAATATTATCTCCGTCCATCATTTCATGCTTTTCTAGATGTAACGGTTAGAGCTGGGATTAGGCATTATTACGACCAAAAAGAAAGGTAAAAAGTGAATGAAGGAGTGACCCTATCGGCAAAACTTTAAATTGAGCCAAATAAAGGCGTTAGCCTGAAACCCCAAACCTACTCACAAAATATGAAGTGCCGGGAAATGAGCATGAGCACCAAAAACAAATCAAATCGCTTTTGTCTCTTTCGCTTTCAGAGTATTGGCTGGAGTCATGCGGGGAACTCTGAAATCGTGAAACCGTCATATTCATGCCCAAATCCATTCAGGCCACTTTCATCCGCCAATCGCTCCTTTCAAGTCTCTTCTTGGCATCTTTGATGTCCGCGTAAAGACCTTCCCTAAAACGACCATTTGGTGAAAGATTTCCCCTTTGTACGAAGCAACGTCGATTCTGCAACGTTTAGCTGGATCGAACCCGTTGAACTGGCAATTGGTTAATGCATCTGCTTCGGAGTTCTGCAGTCTGGGTAACCAATATAAGTCCAAATTGACATTTGCCGCATGGAGCTTCCATGCCAGTTCCATAAGGGCTGCAACTAAGGGGTACTTTGTCGTCATCATCTTTGACAGTGCGAAGCGATTGCCGAGATTGTCGGTGCCAGTTGAGGTTGTGATTCGGCTGTTCCCTGCCTGCGGAAGCCCAAAGGCTTCCACGGCAAGCAGTGTGGCCATACGTTCCAGGGTCGCGATCGACCTGTAGCTTTCCCCAGCTAAGAATGCCCATGGTGCCGACTGCCTCGTGAGCTGTTCCGCAAACCAGCGGCAAGCACCCTTGTCATTCCGGTTGTCCGAAACCGCCCATCCGCCCACCCATACCTCTTCTCCTTCCGCCCTGGCGTCCGTTCTGAAGAGTTCGATCGGGTTTGCGTTCAAAAGGGGGATTGGCACCATCTTGTGACCGGATCGAAGCAATTTCAGCAAAAATTCAAGCACAAGTCGAATCGCGGCTGGAAGAGGGAGTACATCCAAATGGCTGACAGCTGCCGTCCAAGCATATATTGGTCCTAGGAATGGCCGCATAATTTCAAGAGCAGTCGATGCGAACATGAGGCGGCCCTGCACTGAAACCATGTCTGCAATCTTAACCAGGCCGGAGTTCAGAGTGGAAGTCAGCCAGTGCACCAGCCACTCTGTCCGCTTGGGTCCCAGGCCAATAGATCTCGATCTCGGGACCCCGACGATTATCATCATCAAGATGGCAATCAATATGCACCTCAGCCCCTTTGGTCCTTCAGCGACCCATTCCACGTCGTCCACGAAAACCATCTGCAAGACAGGCATATCTCCCCACATGTAGTAAATGAACCGGGGGATCTTTGGGGGAAGGCGAGCCCAATGAAAAGCAGCACTGGATATTCCGAAAGTTCCCACACGGTTGAATCAGACTTCTCCGCTTCCCCAATCCGCATTGGGCATGTGCTGTAAAAGGCATCTAAGGTCAGCCGCCGTCGGCGTGATAGGTGAGGATCGTACCTTGCGAGCATTCACTCCGGTGGAGTGCCGTCGTGCAAGACCGAAAACTTCTGTCGGGTTCTGACACTGCGCCCAAGGAGGCCACCACTTGTCTCCGTAGAGCTTCTTTGTCTCGAACTCAGGGTGCTTGTGGTCATCATAGACTCTCCATTTGGACTTGTCCAAGAAAGGGGATCGGTGTCGACACCCAATCCCACGCCTTCTGCAAAGGAATCTGACAAAGACGTGCTCAGGGTCTTCCGAGAGTTCCGGCACAACCCCCAAATCTGATTTCCGATGCCTCAGTCGCCATGATGAGCTTGCTCCGCGCAGCCCTCAAAATTCTGCTCTTAAGCATGTTCCCCGTTGTGAAGACTAGCAAACGTACTGGGGCAGGCGGCCAAGGTGAGCAAAGCCCTGCCCCTTGTCAGCCTTGAACATGCACACCACAAAGTTGGAGAACAACGCGACGAGCTTGGGCGCGGCTCTCTCTTTAGAGGGCGTTTCCCAAATGGATTCTATTCTGCCTGAGAGGCTCCCAGCACTCGTCCGTCCAGCATTTGACCTCGTCCTGCGAAGGATTCGAAGTCTAAAACGCTGCGTGCAGGCGTGTGGCTGCAAAATAATGACCCCTAGATATGCGCCGCAATTTGGCTCCAGGTTGCATTTCAAGCGAGCCAACCTTTGCAGGGCTAAGAAAAAACAAAAAAAAAAAGAAAAAAAGGGGTCCCAAAAAAAGGGGTCCCCGAAAAAAAAGGGAAAAGGGGTTTCCTTTGGCAAAGGTTGACATCGCTTGAAATGCAACCTGGAGCCAAATTGCGGCGCATATCTAGGGGTCATATTTTGCAGCCACACGCCTGCACGCAGCGTTTTAGACTTCGAATCCTTCGCAGGACGAGGTCAAATGCTGGACGGACGAGTGCTGGGAGCCTCTCAGGCAGAATAGAATCCATTTGGGAAACGCCCTCTAAAGAGAGAGGCGAGGCACACGGAATCGGGGCCTGCCTGGAATCGGGGCGTAATACTGAGAGAGCTTGTAACACGGCAGCCCGCAGTTGTCCAAGTTCCTTGTCCAAGTTCCCGGGCGAACTTGGACAAGTGGCTCTGCAAGAGGAAAACACGTGATAAAATTTGTCCAAGTTCCTTGTCCAAGTT